CTAGGCAATTATATATATATATATATTATACATACCTTAATAATGAGTTGAGCAGAATGCTGCTTCAGTGACAAATTTCATATTTTTTTAAGTGACGAGTATCTTACATATTCCTACATGACATGTGATCGCGGCAACTCTCCATCTCTTTCTGCAGCTTACTTCCACAGAGATGAGGCAAGCTTACTTCCACCTTAGTCTCCAATTCTACAATGGCTCAGATCGGATCGTATGCAGAGACATCATAGCCCGCAATAGTACATCACAAACCCTCACACAAGCCGTAGGTCTCCAATTGGAGACCTGAATTCCCAACCGTTCAACCACCTGCAGGTTCGCAACCTGAGGCAACCTGCCTTGCCTGCGTCAGGGGGCTCCACCTCGCCTTCCCTCCGAATCGGTCGTAAGACCCTCTAAATTCCATTCAACTCCACCATCCTTGGTTCCTGAACGCAGGTCGTCCAGGTCATCCAGGTGGTCCATTTCCCTCGTCGCAACCAGCATCTACACCTGGAGTATGTGTATTGTGCTCCTGAAGTTCGGAACGGGTCACCCGTTGAACAAAGGAAGCACCCCTTCGGTAACTGGTGCTTGGACTCCCAGGGCCATGAATCTTCATCATGTACTCCCAGAATTCCCAAAAGAATTCGCACAAAAATTCCAGGTCCTCATGTACTCCCTTCCAAGGCACATCTCTTCACCGGGATAGGAAATCTTGGGGATGGGCGGGATCGGCCACTCGTCAGGCTTCTTCCCGGGCTCCTCCACGCAGGAGTAGTTGCAGTCGCCCACCGCCTTGATCGAAACCGGAGTGCAAAACCGATGGTGTGTTCAAGCGGCAAAACGGAACTGTTGACCTGTTGGATTCAAATAGATCCATCCCATGGGGGACTTAGGGCAGCCTGGGCGCTCATATTATGGTTCAGGTTCGGATCTATGATATCTATGTCCACTTGATCTGCATGCATCTATGTCCCGATATTGAGATCAAGCCATGAGGGTGGGGCAAATAGGGGTACTCAGTACCTAGGGGTGACTTCAAATAGGTGAAGTTGAGACTGAAACCAGAGATGCTGTGCTGTAGTGCACTGCGTTTTGTTTTTGTGAGCTGCGTTTGCACAACGCGCTTGTAAGCATTGCAGCTGCTTGAGTCACTCACTGACACCACGTGCCTTCCAAAAAAAAACAAATCATGACCCAAGAGATCACAACAACAAAGCCTCGCCTTGACAAAATGTGCGACCCCTGACCACACCACCCATTCTTCCAACAACCAAGGCACATAAATCCGGGGAAAACCCTTCTCATCATAACCCCAAGGCTTTCCTTCCCGTGTCTTCACAGCCAAGCTCATGTCCTCAGTCAGACGTCGCGGGACGTAAGAAAGAGATGGACCAGAGTCTGAAGGAGTCAGTCTGGTGAGGCAAAGCTGCGCTGCTGCTTTTTGGTGGTCCTGACGCGAGAAGGTTGTTCATTGCATAAATGAGCGGCTTGGGAACCCAATAAGCCTTTTGGGCACAAGTATATTTGAAGGTCTATTATTCTTTGCTCTGTAAGCACAAGGTTGGGGGCACATCTCCAATGCCTGCCACCTCAGCAGCTACAACACACCGGTGAGTGTGGTGTTACTCTCTCTTTGCTGAAAACCCCTTGGATTATGGGTGCAGTACCGGTATTGATTTCGATCTTTTGGGGGATCATTTTCGGAATCTTGGCGCCTCACAGCCCGCTGCTATTTACAGCAGTTGGGGCGTCCTTGCTTTGGATGCCAGCCTAGCTCCAGCAAAGGAACAAACGAAGAGCAATCATGAGTCTGCTTGAGAAGATGTAGTGCAGACTTCGTTGCAGTGCAGCATGGTCGACATTCAATAAATTGATGGTTTTTGCGGCAGGTGCTGCAAGTGGAAGAAATAGTGCAAATTTTGTCGTGCTAGGTTGGAGGGGAGGGTGCAGCGCCTCCCAGAGCGAACCAAAAAGAGCAAATATACAATAAAAGCAACAAAAAGAGAAAACAAAGGAAGCAAAAGCAAAGGCACCAAAAACAGAAATGCAGCAAGCACAAGAAACGAAAAGCGAATCTGAAACAATATTCCTGAAAGAAAAGAAGAACATGTGAAAAAGACGCCCTAAATCATTGCCCCATCCTTGGATTATTATCACCGACTCTCACCCCCACCTTTCACCCCAGGACCCCATCAACTCCAAGGTGCCATCAAAATCCAACCACCTCCACCGGGGCCCTTCTCACTCAGGGTCTCCGGGGGCATGAAATAGTTTGATGCCTCCGCGACAACAGGTCCATGAATGTCAAATGTTATGAATGGCCACCAGATTGGAGGAGGGTTTTTGTAGTGAACTCACACTACCCTGCTGGGAGACGGAGCTGGTTGAAGGGAATGGTAGGAAGACTTACTGTAGTTGAACAGCCACTGGTTGAAGGGAGGCAGACAGCTGGATACAAATAACTGTAGACCCAACCTTCTCGTCTGGAACAACTTGGTTTTTCGTGGCTTTCTAACAAACCTGGAGAAGTAACTGCAAACATGTTGTACGCAAGACTCATGTCTTCACTTGATCTCTTTTGACTGCTTCAGAAACCCAAGATCAATCAGGGCGAGAAGGCCGGCTGACATCAGGTCCTGAATGATTCAGGTCCTGATCTCTCTCCTCACCGGAATACGAAACCGTTTCAATGCTACATCTTCTTGGTGTGGTTCCGATTTCACCGAACACCACCGGGCCCCACTTCAACCGAGAGCTGGCTAGAGCTCAAAAGGCCGAACACCGGGCTCAACACCGCCCCCGGCCCGAGCCCAAGACCCGCCTTCACACCAATGCAAACATACTCCTCTCAGAGGAGTCTGAGAGGAGTATGTCTCTGTCGCTCAACTCGGCGTCGGTCTGTACCAACGCGACATGTGTGTGAATCACATCTTGACGGAAAAAAACACCCGGACATTGGACTTTCAGTGCTCACCTACATTGAGACTGGCCTCTCAAAGTCCCTGCCAAACTAGATCTTGTGTGCACGCGGCGTGCGCAAGCTGTATGTGTATATATATATATATATGTTGATAGATTCGGGCTACCAGTTGCAGATTCAACATTATATATTTATGTCTGGAAAGCCAAATACCCAAAAGTTTCTGGTCATCATGGGAAAAAGTCGTACAGTCCCAGTTCAGTATTTTCGTCCACATACTGGTTTTACCCGTAATGACCCAAAAAAATGGTCAAATCAAAAGAGTATGGCAGGCCTACCCGTAGCAAAACCGTATGTGTCCAACAGTCCAACATGTTGGACTGCGTAGTGACCGAAAAGCATGGTCATGGCATGTCATGACTCCCCAAAAATGGGGTATGATGGCTTTCCAGCATTTTCCAGGTATATATTGCTGTATATTCATATATTTATGTATATATTACAATTATATATATATATATTATCTCCCTGTTGGGTAGAACTGGAGCACCTCCGAGTTCCGGTCCGCTTCCAGTTCTGTCCTTGTCCACACCATCTGGCAGTTCAATGCTCTTCCAGAACTCAGGGTTCTTGGCATCGTACTTGGTGTTGTAGAACTGCTTGATGCCCACCTTGTTCATGTACTTCTCCTAAGTTTTGTGGCCATAGTGTCTTGACTTGTGTGTTTTTGCGGTGGGTTGATTCTGAATGCCCAGACTGGCCAAGACCCTCATCCTTCAAAAACCGGGCTTGTGCGACTTCGACTGTCAATCCGCTGGAGTGTGTAATGCAATATGGCCTCTGACACATGTACTTCTCCTCAAACACATATGATCTGTATACTGTATAACCCAAACACTCCATGGGACTGCCATATATGCCGATCAGTTGGGGTGGTTGTGGGGTCAATGTAGACATATATATATATACCATACATGGAGTGTCTGGGATATACAGTAAAATGGATGTGTTTCTTCATGTTTCCCATGGGGCACACCCAGTACACCCAGTGATGGTATTTTTTGTGCGTGAGGGAAAACCCCCATGAGGCACACTGGGGAGTGGGCAGGTGCATTCATGTTGACTGGTGATTCATAGAATCCCATGCTGGTAGCGGGGGCTCTATGAATCAACAGTCCACATTATGCGTCGTGCCTCCTATTTTCCAGCCTTTGTCTTCGAGCTCGGCTGTCGCCGTGCCCGTGCATGTTCCAGTCGGCGGTTTTGCTGGGCGGAGAGACCAAGATTCAGGTGTTTGCTTCCCAGGTGACGCTTACAGAAAACATTTGCCCCTTTTGCATTATTTGATAACCCATGAGACTTATTGCGAATACTCTGGGTGGAGTCTCACCAATATGGCAAGAAGTTGATAGGTCAACTTGCTAGAACATGTTGATATATGATATATTGTTATCTTTCTGGGAGTGCGGCCTGCTGCTGACTTCAGGAGATTTTTCTCAAATCCTGGATCCAACATCTCTCCTCCACAAACCAGCACCTTCCAAATGAAATGGGAAGTTTCTGCACCCAAATTTGGGTACACCTGGGATGAATTTAGGTATCAAGCAACCGCCACTGCAAAGCCAGTTCATGGCCGCTAACTGTCTATGTGTAAGGGGTCCCGATACATCAATGGTTTTTAGGTACCTCAACCATAAATTCACAGAGCAGTGAAGAGAACTTGATTATCACATTAATAGAACAGCTTATACAGTACAAGACCCCGTGGATCACAGGTAAAATGTGGTAAAACCGTCTATAGAAGGAATCGCTTGATGTTATGACATTCAGCCGTTGGAACTAGCGGCGACCGATTCTTTTCTTGAAGCAAATCATGTAGAACATCACTCTGCGGCGCTCTACTCAGTCCCAGTGTCCATGTTCGCTGTATGGTATGCCAAGGGGGGTCTGTTACCCATGCCAATGATGTGGGCCAAGGTGTGTGGGACGAAAGTGTTCAATCCTCGCTCGTCGCTCAGCACGGTTTCCCCAATTTTTTTGGTTTCCGTAACGACTGCCACGACTGCCGCCAAGGCTCACAGTACTTGGCCGCCTTTGCTGGCAAAGGCCCCAGGGGTTGAGGTAAGAAGTCGATGATTGTCAACTTCACCTTGGAGTCGAAAATCCAGGTGGACCATTTTCAGGACACCAAGCAGACGGTCGCAGACGCGGTGGGTTTTGCAGGTGGCCAGTGGGAAAAAGCTATAAAGAGCCTTACCCATGCGCTGTCCACGCAATCCTTGTTGCATTTTGGGTGGACTCAAGCCCAGTGTCCAGTCAAAAAATCATCACGCTGTACCCTGTTGTGGGAGATTTGGGATACATCCTTGACTGTCTTCTAGCACAGTTTAGACCAAAGAGAAGGTGGAAACATGTGAAAACCAAAACCTTTTGCAGGAAACAATTGCTGAAAATGCTTGGACATGTTTTGACGGTGAGAATATGATCTTCAAATCCGCGACCGCAAAGTAGACAACATCATATCACTCCTAGCAACATACCCCAAAGTGTATTTATAGATACCAGTGCTTTGGACAGCAAAAATGTAAGAAACGCTGTTTAAAAACCACACAAACACACCTTTTGGATCCTTTTGGATCCTAATGCAAAAGGTCTCATAAACGCCGGGGTTGTTGGCTTGCCGAGGTTAGATAGAACAAAACGGTCTTTACAGTGTTTGTTGCTCCGATGGTTCAAAATATGCGAAAGACCACCTATGCGATGTTCTTTGGTATCTAAACATGAAAAAATGCGCTAAAAAAATCTAAGAAACGTGAAAAACCTCCCGATGTTTTTGAGTACAAACCGCATGCGAGTGCTGAGCGATCACATGCACCTACGGTCACCCACCACAATCTTCTCTACAGCTTTCGCCATGGCAGTATCAGCTTACCCCGACCGAAACCTACGGGTCATTTGCACCTTGCCCTCAAAGTGAGTGCAAACCCAAATCCCAAATCCTCAAAGGACTTCAAACCAGATCTTTTCGAAACAACGTCTTACCTGACCAAAGGCCCTAGGGCACTTCAGATGCAATTTATTTCCTTGAAGGACCTGTGAGGTAGTTTTTGCGACACTGTCTTGCAAGACACCTACCGACACCAAAAGCAACAACCCTTATGGCATCGCCGTATGCCAAGCTCTACAATATCTTCAAACTGGCCCTAGTGCACTGCAGCTCTGACCCGCTCTTGCGACATTTCAAAATGAAATCAATCCAGTACGAACGAACATCTACCAAGCAATGCAGTTCTTCCTCATCACCCCAGTGGCATTTGGAAAGAAGTGCTGGATCTCGGTAACCCATTCCACGCCGATGAAGCCAGCGCCGACTACCAGGACCTTGGCTGACTTGTCGTTGAGGCCCTTAATGAAGTTGTACCTTGGCGCGCGATGTCGATAGCGTCGTTGTCGTGGGTGTGGGCAGGTCGTCGTGGAGAAACTATGCTGCACGGCGCAAGGTGATCCACAAAGATCAGTGGAAATATGAGTCGGTCACCTGAGAAATGTGACTACGACTACAACAACGACGACACAACAACAGCAGCAGCAGCAACAACAACAACAACCAACCACCAACAACCAACAACCACAACAACAACAAGGTACAAACAAAAACTGCAGCCCCGTTACAACATATCCTGTTCCTTTGTCTCTACAAGGGGGTGGAAACAAAATCTGAAGCCCCGTCGTTGTTTTTTGACCCCCAAAAACCAACCAGCCAACATGTCACTTTTACCCAGTAGTGGTAGTGCTTGCACTAGTGCTAGTACTAGTAGTACTAGTACTAGTGGTACTAGTACTAGTAGTAGTCGTTGTTGTAGTAGTCATCGTTGTAGTGGTAGTACTAGTAGAACTAGCAGTAGTAGTAGTAGCAGCAGTAGTAGAAGTAGTAGTAGCCTAGCATCACTAGTAGTAGTAGTAGTAGTAGTAGTAGTAGTAGTAGTAGTAGTAGTAGTAGTAGTAATAGCAGTAGTAGTAGTAGTAGTCGTCGTAGTAGCAGTAGTAGTAGTAGTAGTACTAGTAGTAGTAGTAGTAGTAGCAGTAGTAGTAGTACTACTAGTAGTTGTACTAGAGTCCGGTCAGCTAAGCCTCTGTAAAACTTCTACTTACAACCTCTCTACCACATCCTAGAGACAAAAGCTGCAGCCCCGTTGTTTTTTGGACCCCCCCCTCAAAAGATGTTGTTGTCTACCCCTTAGAAACAAAATCTGCAGCCCCGTTGTTTTTTGACCCCCCCCTCCAGAACAACACCCCAATAAACATCAAAAAACAAGAAGCAGACCAACCAAGACTTGAGTACCACAACAACGACAAGAAGTCCAGCTACTAACATCTCTCCAAACCTTCGACCCTATCCCTAACAGTGTCCCTTTGAAATCCCTGACTTGCAACATGTGACAACTATGTTGGGCAGCTGTTTTTGTCTCTACCAACAACCACCACCACCACGACGACGATGACGACAACGACAACGACAACCACAACAACAACAACAACAACAACAAGAACAAAAACAAGAACAAGAACACTATAAGTATAACTACTACTGGTACTGCTACTGCTACTGCGACGGTGATAAATCGTATAAAGAAGGTAGCCTGGCGCTCTATAGTGACAAACAGAAGCAGTGATGCGAATCGATTTGAGGATTTGTATGGATTTGTTCAACACTGGTTGAATTGCAAAACCCACCGCACTTGTCAATCCCTGCTCACCTGGGGGGCCCCCGTGTTCGACCTCTGGTGAAACCAAGAGGGCCACCTGCCAAATGCAACCACAGCAGGCCACCCAGGATCAACCACCCAGGGTAAGCTACTCAGTAGCCAAAACTGATCATCTACCTTCCATTCCATGCGTTTGGCCACTGGAAAATCCCCCCACTTGCCTGCAATTCCCCAAGGAAATCTTCCATGCCGTGCGTTTCGAACCAAGGAACTCTTCAATGATGTGCCTCCGTCGGCCCTCCAAGAAACGCTCATCGATGTGAGGCCAGGAACCTACGACGGACTCGACGGACGACGTGACTCGGTCAGGTCGTTTGGGCCAACAAATCTCCAGGTTCCGAGGTTTGGTGTGTTCTAAATGCGTAGCCCAAACGATCAACGAAGAAGGATTGAAGGTATTTTCAACCTGTGTCTTCTTTTGGTGCCCTCCTTTAGCCTCCTTTCCGAAGAAGAAGGACTGGACCTTCTCTCGTGTCATGAATTCAGTTTGCACTGATTCTTCACTCCCTCCAAGCACTTGGATTTGGTGGACTCGCCAGAAATATGCTGGAAAACGCGATGAAAGCCAACCATGGACGGTTCACCGAATTGCAAACCAGATGAGACCGCATCTGTAAACTAGAGCAGTCACAAATGGTCATAGTAGAGCACCCAAAAGCTCTGGATTCTGTAGTGCAAGGCGCTCTCTTCAAGAATGAGCACGGAGAATGAGTTGACTCCATGCCACAAACAACTCATCGTCGGACACTGTCATACAAAAAAGGCATTTGCCTTTCGCAAGTCGCTGATTTCAACCGAAAGCAGTCTCCGCAATCAGGGCCACACCACCCAGGCGACCTCCTCTCACCCCCGGTGGCCCCCGGTGGTGGACTCTTCTCTTCTCCACCGCCCCGTTGAACGGCCTTCAGCTCGTGCGTCTTCATGGATGGTGGGGAACCAAAGTGACTCACCCCACCTCGGCGGCCGAAGCGACGCGGGCGACACCCACGAGGACATGGTGGTTTCGTGGATATGGCAGGTGCCCTGGGTCAGGGTTTGGAGGAAACGAGACATGAGTCTTCCATAGGTCTTCCCGGGGTCAGGCCACCCACTTGCATCTTAGTGAGTCAGAGGAGTCAGAGGGTATTTCGTTGGGGGGAGATGATCCGGGATAGGGGGGATAGGGGGTGACTTCGTCGGAAGGGGGTGGCAGTGATCATCACTTGAGTGATCGTCAATCCAACCATTCTTGTATAGCTTAATGTCCTTTTGGTGCATTTATAGAGATAATCTGCATCAATCTGCACTTGATTCGCTGCGCAGCCGCGCAACTTGGGATCTCAACAGCGCAAGCTTTAGTCTCCCCAACGTCACATGTTGCAGAAGTTCTTTTCCTTGACAGGTGTGCTGTGTGCTCATCTGGGACTTCATCCTCATCTTGTTTGACAAAAAGCTCCAGGGTGATCCACCACCATGGCTTCCAAAACGCTCCGAAAAGCTGAAAGCTCACTCCCTCAGTTTCCTTGGAACCTAAAGGTTTCCTTTAACATCCTTTAACCTCTTTTCACCTTACATGGAGTGAAAAAGAAAACAAACAAAAAAAACAAATCCCCCAAATCAAGTTATCAAGGCGATTTGCCGGTGATCCACTGTTCCTGGGTCGGAAAGCGTGAATGCGGCCTTCCGCGTGCCACATCAACAACCTGACCCGACCCCCCTTCTCTGACCTCCTATGGACCCGGATGGAGGACCCCATGCCCGGCCCTCTCTGTCGCTTTGCGTCCTTTCAGCCCCACATGTTGGGGCTCTGAAGACACAGAGTCTCCAAAAGGGATCTTCAGGGCGGCTGACGACCTGATTCACCCACACTGATCTGGTCCAAACAAAACAGGAAAGTGACCACCAACAATGGCCGTTTGTGGGTATGCTTTTAAATGTCCGTTTGTGTCTGATATATATATATATATGCTAACCATATATATATGTATATATGTATAATGGTTCCAATGTCTTCCTTCAGTGTCAGCCACCCAACCCTCCCTTAAAATTCTTTGAAACATCTCAGGCCCTTTCTAAACAGTCCACATTGGGACGGCCTGATGCCCTGGGGCACTCTTGAATGCCATCCATAAAGGCACGCCGAGGCTTCGAAGAAGCTGTAAGTCCTTGCAGATGAAGCCAGACCTTGCGTGAGAACATGCCTCCAAAGGGTTTCACAGCGGCTTCTTTCACCTCGGCGTCAAAGAAGGGGGCTTGGAAGTGAGAAGGCATGGACGACCACCTCAATCTATTACCTTTTGCTTGACATGTCACAGAAATCATCATGTGAATCATCCAAAGATCTAGCTAGCCGTTGAGATGCTCTGGTCGTCATGTTCGTCATGTTCTATGGACTTTTTTTGCCACATCCAGGCCGAAAGTCCTTCTTGCCCTCGCATCAGTATCCACCGTTCTTTAAAAAAAGATAGTAAGAAGTCGGTTCTGAACGACGTCCGATGAAGTGATTTCTGGCCCAGTGGCGCTGAGCCATCCTTCGCCGGGAATCTGTAGTTGCAGCTTCTTCAAGCTCTTCGGCCGGATGTGAGGATCTAACAAGGCCTCGTTCGGCTGGGTGGCTCCGGGAAGGGTTTGGAGATCGCGGCATACCACTTTGGGGCGCTGAAATCGAGAACCCTTGCAAGGTTTTGCGTTGGAGCGTTTGTGTTGGGTATTTGCACTTGTTGATGCCCAAACTCGCAAGTTAGCTTCATCTCTAGTCCCTTTGACTTAGGGTTGGGGATTCTGTATTGAATCGAGTGCCCTGAGGACAGTCCAATTCCACATCCCTCTTGACGAAGGCCACGAGGAGCACCCGGCACTTGGTATGCTTAGACCATGTGCCTAGGAGATGAGGATCTTGCACTTACATCAGGAGAGTGGTGTAGATTGATAGAAGTGATGATCTCCTTGATGGCTGTAGTTGCTAACAGGTATTGATGCTTGCTCTTACGTCTTACCGCTACTTCCACTACTCCGGCTCTGTATAATTAATTGCCCAACCTTCAACACAAAGACAACCAACTGTTCACTCCCGCTGCGTCACATCGTGCCTTCTCTGCAAACCTCGACAGCTTCTCCTGGATCTTCGCCCACTCCATGGGCTTCACCATTGCTCGCATGCAGGGCATGCCGGCACCTGCCGAAGACGCTGAGCTTCGCCCCTCATCGGCTGTTCCATCCTCATAGATCCTTGGTCCCTGCGCCGGGCAAAGGCTTGTCTTACAAAACATCAAGCTACGCAGAACTGCTGATCTATCTCTTCGAAGCGTATTCCGCATTGAATCATCCAGCAAACGATGCACGAACGGGCATACATGTAATTCTCGAAAAAAACAGTGAGTTTCCGACGCGAAAAAGACCGGAGGACAGACTCGTCCTGGTTCCAACATTTGAAGACCATCATGACTGTGGTGTAAATACCTTCAACAGTGATTATATACATTTATATACCATCTCCATACTCCACTCCCTGGGCCCGTCCTCATCCCGCTGAAATTTGATGTGGGCCTCTTGCACATCATGTAGCTCTGTGTCTGTATCTACGAGGAGAGTCATCTCTTTCATTTCAGTCAGAACCTGCACACACGAGCTTCTTCCTGTGCTTGCGGAGTCTTGCGAGCTGAGTGTTGATGTCACGCTCCGTGCGGATGCTAGGCTCTGGGCACCGTTCTCGGAGCGGGGAAGGCGCCAAAGATTCACCAGCTGGGAAGGGACCTGATCTTCTTGAGCGTCAGGGATGGCACGAGGAACCTCGGAGTCTTCCTTGAACGCAATCAAGTGATAAGGATCCCTGGAACCAAAGAGTCCTGGGACTGGAACGTGAAAGAGGTCTGCTGCAACACGAATACCTGCCGGAGAAAAGCGGGAGGCCTGGAAGTTCTTGGAGGGAAAAGACTGGCTACAAGACATATAGCTGCAGAAGATAACCATTTATTAGCGTTATTGTGATAAATTATGTAATATATGAATGGACCTTGCTGTGACCTTCTACCTGCTAGAGTCTGCTAGCTGCTAGAGTGTCAAAAACCGGTGGACCCTGGTATTGTCCACAGAAAATTGAACAGGACAGACTACGAGACATGGTCAACTATGTCAAAGACGCTCAAGCCAGTGGGTCTTTTCAGCCTAGCTTTCGCTGCCGATCTTCGGCCCGTGCCGATCTCGCCTGCAGCTCCGCGCAACGACGCCCGCAAGCACAGGGCGGGCGCCGGGGCCGAGGGAGAAGAGGGGGTCGCTGCCGTGGTGTCCGAACAGCCGTCCTGTGTGGAGGAGGTGATGAAATCCCTGAAGCGACCTGACAAGCTGGGTGCAGGAGTCCGAAAATAGACGGACGTTCAGACGGATGAAGGTGTGGAAGAGATGCCCTCCCTGCATTACTCTCTGAAACAATCATGGAATGTGGATGGCGTCACCCATTGGATGACCCTTTTCCTCTATAAACAGGTCGCTTTCCATGTCAGTGACAGAGTATGAATCAATAAAGATCGGAGTTCGAAGATGCGGTGGTCTTCACCCCCATCCAGTTGTACGGATCCTCCATTCACCTCCTGTTTTGAGAGTCGCTCCCAACAAATCCGTGGCTTCCTGCCGCTCACCTCGTTCTTGGTCGTTGGTCAGCAAATGTTCAAAAGGATCTGCCCACCAGGCTCACATCGGTCAAAATCAAGTGCTTCAAACATTGACTCTCCTGCCGCACAAGTTCGCCAAAACTCAAAGCACACATCTTTACCGAGCATGTTTGAAGGTTTCAAAGCCTGTGACATGTCGCTTCGGGAGGTTTGGTTAGTCGATGGTGACCCATGAGAGGTTGCTGGTCCTCACTCCACAGGAACTGAGATGGTGTTCGATGGGTCTTGTAAGATCCAGTCCGCACAAATCTATACCAGCAAACATCAGCAAACCGTACTATATTCTTTTGAGGTGCCAATTGGTGGTAATCTCTGCCCATACACCATTTCCGAATGTATATTGTATAATACTATACCGATGTATCATGATGTATCAAACAAATTAACCGCAACACGTTATAAAAATTGGTGGTTCTTGGAAAGGATCATCAAGACACTGAGTAAATTCACCTGGGGCCCTGGCGGGTCCTTCTCTCCTCCTTTTGCCGCATGGTTCTCAAATCTTTCGATCACCACATCCGCCCCCACACGCGGCCGGCGTGTCTCCTGCGAGACCTTCATCTCACTGTCCAAAAGCACCTCCCCATCGCAGACGCCTCGCAAAACGCGTCGAAATCCCGACACCAACGAGTCGCTGTCCGCAGTCTCCAGCAGCGCATTGAAGCGTCCTCTTGGGCGAAAAACGGGCCACACACACGCACATAAAAAGGGCTGAGCAGTGGGGGACGGTCGTCGACAACTGCACTAGAGGCAACTAAAGCAGAGAAGTGATGCTGTGGATGCTGAATCCAAATTTGGGTTTTAAGGTGTTGCGGAAACCGTGCTGCCCTCGAGGTCTAAAGGTGTAGAAGCAGAAGGTCTAGAGATCTAGACGTATTGGGTTCCAGAGAGATCTAGAGATCCAGACCCAAGGTCAAGGTCTTGGGATTGAGAGAGAAAAGAGTTGGAAAGATCTAGAGATGTAGGCCTTGAGATCCAGACAGATCAAGACTTCAAAGCCGAGAGGTCTGAGATCTAGAGATATCAAGAGCTCTAGGCCTGGAGACCTAGACCTACGCGTGTCAGGTGTAGAAGTCTAGAGGTCTTGAGATAGGACCTAGACATCTCAAGCTCTAGATCTAAAGTTTGGACTAGAGGTCTTGAGATCCAGAGAAATCTAAAGGAGGCCGAGAGTTCCAGACCTCTCTACAAAGGTCTAGAACGCAGCTTCACTGCACCTGCCCCAAAAACAGAGCACCGAAGAAAAATCACCATGTCCAAAAGCTGCGCCTCCCACGGAACTTGCGCATTGAAGTAAAATCGCTGCAATCTCCTCCGCCTGCTACAAAAAGTTGACATGGGACCACCAAAGCATTTCCCTTGCACCTGCCAAGAAAAGTGACCACCAAGTCCGAAAATGTGTGCACAGCACCACAAAGAGAGCGCAGTCGAGGAAAGCACCCGCTCGGGCCCAGCAGTTTCTGCCAACCTGCGCAATCGAAATGCAAGTCGAACATCTCGAGGCATGAAGCAAATAGCAGCGAATTAGCCGGACACGGATGCGAGCACCACCGATTGAACACCGGGCCTTAACAAACTTCCGCAAGAATCCCTAGTGTAACCACACTGTTTGAAGAAAAAGGTACCGGGACCCTCCAAATACCCGGGGTATCAACGGCAACCACCAAAGTTCAGTGCTTTGAGTACTTCAGCCATATAACATCATATAACACCGAAACACCGGCCCACAATCACTTTCATGGAGGCACTACTCTTATGTCAAGTGACTAAATGCTAACTAAATTTGAGGAAGCTTCGCACATGTTTGCACTAGTTCATTTGATCCTCCACACCTCCCCACGTTGGCCTTATATCTGGGAGGAAGCACCACCGCAGATAGGATGACACCACGTCCGTTCCGTTGGATCTCTTCCATGGGATTGGTGTTCCATGGGGTTGGTGTTCAACCAGGCCCCACCAACGGGACACACCACGGTGTCAAAAAACGTCCGCGGGGCTTGGCGAGCTTTCGGCACCAAGGTGGGGCTTAGACGTGTGGGGCCCCAGGTGCCGGGCGAGGCGTCTTGTTCTTCCCACTGGTTTGGAAGATCTGGGGATTGGAGCCAGGAGACCTGAGGGGTTTACATATATAGATGCAGAATGAGAAGCTGCCAGAGTTTCTTAACCGTTGAGAATTCCACTCAGTTGTGCAATTGGTTAATCATAGTGTCAATCATATTTCCCTCACAGAGATGCCCAACAGATTCCATTTGCCCGATTGACAAGAGAATGATCTTGAGCTACAAGTCATTTTCAAGATTACATTTAAACAAATATATACATGAAATATATATATACATAAAGTTACCGTCATTTGATTGTGATTATGGAGTGTTCCTTGGAAAACGATACGGAACGTCTCAAAAAATGATACCCCTCGCTGTGCGAAAGGGCCCGCCCATCACGCAAGGATTGACTCTGCAAATTGACCGGGAGCCTGGTGAGATTCCCTGCGTTTTGGATCGATTCCTCGTGGTTCGGAAAGGTTTGGGTCCTCGTAGAACCAAGTCAATGAAGACGGAAGAAGAAATACAGGCCGTGCAAATGAAGAATTGGCTCAGGCATAAGGCAGCCAGGTCCGTCGTTTCGAAGACAAACGAGTAGACCGACCTCAAGGCCGCGACGTCGCGGCGCGCCAGGCGAATCGTCATGGAACATCGGGTTGAAACAACCATCGAGGAACACCGCTGACGCCATTCTCTTTTTCAGCTCCCAGAATCCTTTGGTTTTATAGACGATCGAGATATGTATGAGTACAGGACACCCGTTTAAGATCTTTTAAGTGGGCAATATGTATGAGTACAGACATGGACGGTGGTTCTTTTTCGGGATGGCTCACAAGCTGGAAATCATCAGCAGTATCCCGGCGTTTGACAAGCTAGGGCCTACCACCTGGTAGACTGACTGGTAGGTTGAGTTGAGTATTGGGGGTTTGGGGCACTCCTTATTTGTTATCTTGTCTTTTCTTCTTGTACCTCATATGGCTATATGGATCTATATGGGCTATGGGTATCTGATGGAGTCACAAGTCCCGTGTCGACCCCATGAACAGAATGGACTACCATGGACGGTCTGGTATTTACCCACAGCCAATGTAAACACGATTGTAAGAAACCACTCATGACCAAAGAAACAGCGCTAGAAGAGTCGCGGAATTCTGCAGCTAGATTGTCGATTATGCCAGATTGTCAAAACATGCGCCCAAGGAGCATCTCCGCAAGGGTAAAGAGGAGCTGGAAAGGAATTGACACCCAAGGATCTAAAAACATGATCACCAGCCAGAAGCGAAGGCCAACCTGCGCCCCGTGTCCGCATGTGGTGCCGTTTAAAGGGCGGCCTGTTTTGGCACAGCTGGACTCACCGTTCCAGGGTACAATATGAAGTTGAGCCCAAGTATTCTATGGATTTTTGTGGATCAAATGCCTTTACAAGTTCATGGCACAGGTGCCAATCCAACTTGCCATCAGGTTGGCCACATGGTGGAACCTATCGCGCGCCTGAAAAGCCTGCATCATCGCAAATTTGAAGGCAGTTGCAGATGCAGCCGTGCTGATCATAATGACCAAGCACATGAAATGGAGGAAGCACGTGAGCAGCCTCTGTTGTTGGCGGGTGAGCTCGATAAAGCCGCAAGCGACCATCAAGTGCTGGACGTAGCCCATAGTACAGAAGCTGGTCCATAGAATGCTGTCGAAGCCTGGTTCTCTCACCTGGCTGTTCAATTTCTTGCATTTCTTGCATTGGAGTCTCCAACAGAAACTTCACGGTCAACGAGTGAACACAATTACGTCGGGGAGCCCATTTTCTGAGACGAAAATACCAGCTGCCCATGTTCTGAGACGAACATGAAACCTGAAGAACCCGGTGTGAGCTCTTTCGTGTTCGGAAACAGGGAGGAAACAGGAGGTCCTTAACTAGTCTCTGCAATTGGGTCTCATGGTCTCATCACTCTTCATACAAAGGACAGCTTCATGGAGCATACCCAAGACCATGAAGATGTTCAGGTGGCAAATACAGCGGCTGATGAAAATGAAGTTTCTCTGTCTCAGCTTCCACATCTCCTCCTCAAGTCGAGCTTCCTTTTGTGCGTCCTAGGGACGAAAGGATGAAATGTGCATGAATCCGAGTTGCAAAAAGTGAGGTGTTCCGGCTTGACGACGAGGACGACGACGACGACGACGACGACCACCACCACCACCACCGCTGCCGCCGCCGCCACCGCCACTACCACCACCGAAGACCAAATCCCCAGCCTCTTCTGGAATTGCCATACCAAAGGCATACTTACCTTACTTTCCTTACTTTCCTTTACCATCACATTCTTGAACACTGTTGAACACTCTTCATGGGAGCTCTGATCTGAAGCTTGGTGCATATGAAAGCAAAATGGGCCTGGCGATGGGGGTGAAATTGGGCCTAGAAGTCCACCAAAAGCGCATGGTGGACTAGACCGTTCAGGCATCATCTGCCCCACCTGGACCTTCTGCATCATCGAACTGATCCATCGTCGCAGGTCAAGCCAGTCATTTTGGGTGAGGAAGAGGTGCGCTGGAAAGAAGAACAGGGCCAAGGTGACCACGACCGCCCAAGCTTCCATGGCGAATGTGGGTCAGGCACTGGTCAGGCAAGACTGAACATTATCATCCAGTGGGTGCAGAATAGGGACCCATACCTTGCAATATCTTGCAATAGCCCATGCATCCGCTTTGGAACTCCGGGCCTAGATCACCAGATCTGTCTGATCCTTTGGAACTCCAGCGCAGTCGTGGACCGGCGAATGTCTGACGAGCCCCACGTTGGAGACGGGTGACGTACGAAGCACTCCCCCATAATAATCATAATGTAACTACAACTGACGGCTGAGGTGTGTTTTTGCTGGATTGTTCCTTGGAAGAGCGTCAAAGCACCAAGCGCTGGTGATTTTTTGTATCTCAGTATCTCTGGGGATTAGAAGATGTTCGTGTAGAGGAGATGAGGAGAGAAATCCGCATCTGAGGCCAGTGTAAGGGGATCGGGAAAAGGTCACAAGAACTGCTCTACCAGTGGCCTCTTAAAAGGATCTCCAATGCCACAAGTTACAAAACCGCGCACCGGAAGGGTACTGGTTGGCCTCTAAAAGGTCCTTAAGGATCCTAAGTCAACATATATACAATACTGACGACCTCCGAATGTTGAGTGGTGACGCCTGGCTTGCGGGGCATCTGGGCACAGGCATCTGGGGGCATCTGCGATCCCTTCGCTCCGCCACCAACAGTGACTTTCATCCCTCACGGATGTTTGACTGTTCTAACACATGATCCACCTGAAAGCTCAAATCACATGGGTGTGTATTGAAATATGGAGACCTCCCAGGCAGCGACCCCCTGGAAGGTTCATGGTGACCAGTCTACCTATTGGTGGGGGTCTCTCTAATGGAAAATAATGGAGAAACAAAACACATACCTAAGGTTGTTCCCATTAGGGAGACCCATGATTGTCAAAAGGAGACCGAGAGACCCATTTGGCCGGGGTAAAACACGAAAAGAACCAAACCCTCAGGTCCCGAGCGTGTTCGTTTCGCTTTTAACGGGCGCCCAGTGGCTTGTGGAAGGGACCAAAATTGCAGCCCGATGCAATGATGCAGTAGTCGAAGTCGATGATCTCCTACCAAACCACTTGGGCCATTCCCGCAACCAAAAATGCCCATGCAAAACCCCGGAGGGCTGGAGGGCTCGCCCGGTTGGAAGAGATGGCAAAAGGGCGGATCCGAAACCATCCGAAACCACATTGGACCCTACAAATTGATACAAGTCCCTGTTTTTGGTGTTGTATTAGGGATACACAGGTGCATGTCCCGTTTTCTGCACGTTTGAAGCTCCGTTCTTTGTTGTATCTTTCCAAGGTGGCACCTTGGCTCCTGTTGCGAACAGCTTCGCAGCTTCGAGTAATTTGTAATGTTTGCCCAGTCAGGTCGGTCTTGTTTCTGTCTCTCAGGGCTTGGGCTGTCAAATTGAATCTAACACGTCTGGAATCAGCTCCAAGCTTCAAGCAACCTATCCTCCAGCTTGGTGAAGCTCATCTGAGGGAGCTACTTTAAAAAACACCATGTTGCACAACCAGTTTGGAAGTGATCTTCCAAAAGTCGGACTCTCTTCAGATGAATGTCAGGAACGAGGCCTCAAAAAGGAATCCCAGTTCGGCTGCGCACGAGTCAACTGAGGTCCAGCGGATCGAAACTGCTCTCTTGGCTCTCGTCTACTTGATTTTCCCACCAGCCACCAGCGCGGGTCTGTGGGTGGGAGTATGTGGGAGAATTCGAAGAACCACAACCAGGTGTTGTGAACTAGATCTCAGCTGAGTCCTTCTGCGCAAAGATAGGCTGTATCGTCGCAGTCTTCCTGAAAAAGGACGCATCAGGACTGAAAGGAACAACAATCTCGAATTTCTGTCTCAAAACCATGCAAAAAGGAACAAACACCGTTCGCGTTGGTTCATCTGAAGTCTGGATTTTGCTGGAATCACACTCTCCCCCAAGCGTTCGGGCAACTCGGTACATCGAAAAGTGATGTTTTGGTACTCTCCACAGGAAGGATCTCACTCCTCCCAGTCCCTCTCACTCCTAGCAGGCAGCCACAGGGTCGAAATACTCTGTCTGACTCTGTCTGATTCACCGCAGGGTCTTAAGCACTGGTCTTCCAACTCATAAAATTCAACACATGTTTTCATTAGCACAGCACAATAACACATCACGCGCGTTGGGGGTGGCCGGTCATCTGGGGGGAAACCCAACCCACCAGACTTGTTTCTGCACGTCCTGCGGCCATTGGTCTTGCCAAAAGCCTACGTGTACAAAATTATGCATTAAAGCAAAATGGTCATATCCAATCGAACCGTCCAAGGGTGGTTCCAATCCACTTAATCAATACTTTGAAACCCCAAGACCAAGCCCCAGCATTTTAAGGACTTCCAGTATTCAAGAGGAGCTTCTCACTGAGATGGCTACTCATCCACCAACAGACTATATAGATGCTGCTAGGGCCGCTAGGGGCCGGTCTGCACCTTGATGCCTGAAAAGCATGATGTGCTTAGATGATGGAGCTGATTAGATCATATAGAGCTTTGGATCATCCATGTTCCCCAACCCGGACAGCTATGGCTGGGGTTGTTTTCTCATATGTTCATTCGTGCGCCCCACGCGGAAGACGTGGTGTCATCAAACCTCCTTGGTGTCATCCTGTATTGGGGACGCCTGGATCGGCGGAGGTCCCCAAATGGTCCAAACAGGGACAAAACGTGGGTTCGACCGCATGATCCGGGAAGCCCGAAGCGCACATCCTATGAGTGTTGTTTGTCAAAGAATGCCTCACCGATCTGTCAAAGAAACCTTCACGAATGATGGACTGACATGACATGTAGATATATCCATTGATGGACAACTAAAGCTCATCAGAGTGATTCATCCTTTGGGGTGGCCACCTTAGCCGACTCTCTTCCTTTTTCAGTCGTTTCCGCTGCTTCGGAGCGAAAAGGCCCGGCATCGGCCCATCTGGCCATGCATGGCTTCTGCGTGCCAGGCTTCTGCTCGCCGTTGATCTCCTTCACCTCGCCCCATAAGAACTTGCAGCCCATGCGCGTCTGGCGGGTGTGCGGTGGACTGGTGAGGTCAATGAAAAAGCACCAAAAAGAACAAGTTTATACATTGACCTAATTGACCTCACCGATTCATTTATATGACCTAATGACCTAATGAGGTCAATGACAATTACAAAGTGACAAAGCATTTATATGTCATGAGTCATGGTCATTAAGAGTCATAGGATTTCCTAGCAGTGCCATGGCAAAAAAGGCAAAGGCGAAAGAGAGACCAATGAAAGACACCCGCAAACAGCTGTCAAGCAAACGCATGTCCAGCACATCCATGCAAAACCAAAAGGCACAGCAGCTAATTAAAGGGCACAAAAAGGGGAAGAAAAAGGTAGGAACAAAGCAATAGCTGAAAGGAGGCAAAAGGCAAGGCCAAGCTTTGCTTGAGCAACTGCTCTGTTTGGTGTATATATAGTTTTAGGATTTGCGTTGCCCTTTTTGGATTGTCTTTTTGGCTGCCGCTTCTTTCACAATCATTTTGCCTGTTCAAAAAAATTGGCATCCGTCAAGTTCTGCCCCTACAAGTTCTTATTCCGCGTTCATGGCAGTTACTGTACTTAGTGTCTGTATACTTTATCGGATGGAGTTGGGTGTTTGTTTGGTTTTGCAGCGCATAGGCGCATAGTAAATCACGCCTTGTTGCGACAATGCGAGCGTTGGTTTCGGCGACAACAGGGGATATGAGCATCGCCTAGTTGATCGGCTTGTGCCGCGTCCCTCTTTCCTGGTGTCGTAAACAAACGAGCAGAAAATTGCGGAAAGAAAGGTACATGACAAGTGGAAGAAATCCTGCAACACCGGTGGGAAGTGCCATACTCTGCTGTTTGCAAGGTCTTGGACCTGCCGGGTGGTACAAAGGTTGCTGCCTACAGGTGGGTTGAGATGCCATATAGTTTTCCACTATTGAACCACCCGGATTCCCCATGTCCCATGAGCTTCTTCATTTGGACCAACACACACGCTTCAGGTTTTAAGAGATGGAGTGTGTGTGTGTGTGTCCACACCTGTCCCTAAGGTTTCGAGTCACAAAGGACGCTACTAAGGGCCCCCGGTTTCGCTACTAAGGGCTCCTGGTATCGCTATTAGCGTACAGCTTGTCAATTTTTTAACATGTTCAAAGCGCGCAAAAAAGAAGCAGGGGGATGAGGATCCCTTGGTGTGCCTCATCTAACAAAGACCGCACCAAGTGGATGTGATATCAGTGCCCGGCCAGCACTGACGTACCTGCCTTTCAATTTTTAAGCCTTTTCTGCAGTCACGCATTGAGCTTTTGGCCCTGCTTCCTCTTGAAGACCTCCAGGCCCTAGAGGTTTACTTGCGCTTGCTGTGAAACTTTGGTCAAACAATACTGTTTTCGCTGACCTTTTCACCTTGCGGTTCGCCACCTTGCGGGTGCTGGGTGTGATCCTCCGCAAGGAGGCGCCGCTTTCATTCCGGAATTCGTGTAACTGATTTAGCCACTTCCTGCAGTCCCGAAACTCATAACGGATTTTCCTTAACTGAATTCGCTGACTCTCGGGCCGCCGGGCCTTTACGGAACTGCTGTCCGGCATGCATGGATTCATGTCTCAAGCTCGCATTTGGAGAGTCATTACATGTTCCGAATTCGAACTTGCAGTAATGTCCTTTGCTCCTAGTAGTAAGGCCAGGAGCCCGTAGTAGCGTCCTTTGCTCCTAGTAGTAAGGCCAGGAGCCCGTAGTAGGGGGGAGGGAAGTTCCAGTTCCAGTTCCACGTGGGAGGCTGGGGAGGGGGAGGGAAGTTCCAGTTCCAGTTCCAGTTCCACGTCGTCCAACACGGGAGACTGGGGAGGGGGGATCCAGTTCCAGTTCCACGTGGGAGACTGGGGAGCGGGAAGGGAAGTTCCAGTTCCAGTTCCAGTTCCACGTCGTCCAACACGGGAGACTGGGGACGGGGGGAGGGAAGTTCCAGTTCCAGTTCCAGTTCCACGTCGTCCAACACGGGAGACTGGGGAGCGGGGAGGGAAGTTCCAGTTCCAGTTCCAGTTCCACGTCGTCCAACACGGGAGACTGGGGAGAGGGGAGGGTCTAGTGTCACCATTTCCCCCCTACCCCAGGCCTCTGTTGCTATCCCACCCGCTTTTCGGGAAACAGAAGGAAATCGCACTCAACACACTTGTGTGTTGGTGCCTTTCCTTCTGTTTCTCCTATCTATTGCTAGCTACCCGAGCGGTTTAAGACAAAAGTCCCGATCGCGAACTACTTTCATTTAACTAAGTGGGCCTCGTCACTATACCTATTTTTCCTTCTTGCCCTCTTAGTCTTCTCTTGTTTTGTTCTCTTTGTCTGTCTTTCCAAGTCTTTTTAGGTGACTAGTAGTCTTCCGGAACGCCAATATTGGCGTTATGTGTACAAAGTTGTTGCCAACAGATCGCTACTAGGAGCAAGGACGGTACTACTATAGGGGCCTCTGGCCGGTCTACGGGGAGCAAGGACGCTACTAGGGACTTCTGGCCTCACTACTAGTTTGCAGTAGGAGAGCGCGCCGAATACGGCGCCGTGTGTGTGTGTGTCCACGCCTGTCCCTAAGGTTTCGAGTCACAAAGGACGCTACTAAGGGCCCCCGGTTTCGCTACTAAGGGCTCCTGGTATCGCTATTAGCGTACAGCTTGTCAATTTTTTAACATGTTCAAAGCGCGCAAAAAAGAAGCAGGGGGATGAGGATCCCTTGGTGTGCCTCATCTAAAAAAAGACCGCACCAAGTGGATGTGATATCAGTGCCCGGCCAGCACTGACGTACCTGCCTTTCAATTTTTAAGCCTTTTCTGCAGTCACGCATTGAGCTTTTGGCCCTGCTTCCTCTTGAAGACCTCCAGGCCCCAGAGGTTTACTTGCGCTTGCTGTGAAACTTTGGTCAAACAATACTGTTTTCGCTGACCTTTTCACCTTGCGGTTCGCCACCTTCCCTCTCGACTTGGGAACTGAGCTAACTGAAACTTTGGTTAAACAATACTGGTTTCGCTGACCTTTTCACCTTGCGGTTCGCCACCTTCCTTCTCGACTTGGGAACTGAGCTAACTGAAAACCCAATGTCAAAGTGTATGTGTGTGTTGCCCCAAAACGCTTTTGATGGAAGGCAGCGGCGAAAATGCTTTACAAGAGTTGGAGGGCCTCATGAAACGACGGCTACCCTCAAGACAGGTTTTTTGAAGACCGGTCAAGGACCGTGTTGGTGGCCCATCCTTCTGAACCTTAAAGACAGAGCCTTGAGCAAGTTGGTCCACCCGGGACGGAACACTGACGAGACTTGTCGAATGGGACGAACGGGCCATGGGACACGATGAATCGATGGGCCGCCTCAATCACCGGCTGCAGGGTGAAGCTTAGTGCATCCAAATGCTTGGGCTTCACATAAGCTCTCAATACTCCTCGGCCATGCAACAGCAAGCCATAGTCTGCCAAAGACTCCGTTTGCAGCGGAATGCGGCCTAAAGACAAGGTCTCCAAATTGTGAGGCTCTCCCCTGCAACAACATCTACATACATCTACCAACTCCTACATCAGGTCTTCTTCGCTCAAACCCGTCTCCTCCCAGGGGGGCCCTCTTCGCTCATTCACCAGGACGTACTGGTCCATTCACCAGTGCCCGGTCTCGCTGTCGGATGCCTGGAGTGGCCCGCTCCACACTCCGTGGCCCGCTCCCCCCGGCTCCTGGCGTGTATTCGAAGTACTCCTGGAGGACGGATCGATCGAGGTGGCCGGGAGTGGTGAAGAAAGGTGGCCCTGGAGTGGAGTGGGAAAGGTCAAAAGGTGCGTGATTGCTTGGCCAAGTAAACAAGGGTGATCCGGTACAGTACACCTTTTGATCATGGATATTTTAATCTTACTGTTGTAGGTCGAATGTGTTCTATATGTCACGTTTAAATTTCTTCATCCATTGATTCATCTCCCATCGTGTTGGCGGGCCTGTTTCACACTCTCGATCGGTCTCGCCCAGATGGTCGCTGTCTCGCCCAGATGGTCGCTGTCGGGTTTCGCTCCCAATGGATGGAGAGAGTGGCCTCGTCCACCGGACGTTTGTTTTAGATCAAAGAAGTGCAGAAAGTGGTGTTTCGTCAATGAGGATTGGAGAACCCTCCAAACCAAAGCTGGGCGAAGCCCAGCTTCTGGGCTTTTGGGAAGCTGGCGGCAAGTGTGCGAGCTGTTGGTGCTGCTAGTGCTGTGAGTCCGAGCTAACATGTTCGTACCATCCCTGTCTGCAGGTCACCAACCCCTCAGCCAAGCGTTGGAAGTTCACTGCCTGGTTCTGCACCCAAGCTCCGCTCCTTCGCATCGACGATGGTCACCAAGAAGTGCTTTCCTGAAGACCGGGAACCTGGGAACCTTGGAAGGCCTTTTGGGAGGAATCGAAAGTGAGTTTCCAAAAACGGACGATGCTTTTCTTGAGCCATGAACAGCGTTTGTTGGTGCTAAGTGGTGTGTGTCACACCTAGGATCACATCAAGTGAAAATGCAGGGATTCACACTCCCCCTGATGGTTGTACCATCATTCAAACACGCGTCAGCACCAGGTTTTTTCATCCAGTGCTGCGCAGAAACTCAAAGCTTCCGTCCGACTCACAGTCCTCGTCTTGTCGTTCACCATCACGGTGAGGATGTTGTTGAACTGCCGTCTCAATTCCAAGCCAAATTGGCCATTGGTCAGCTTCGGGAGGCACGTGTTCGCTTGAATTGGCCGCTTGGGACGTCCCTTCCGTCACCTGGCCGGAGTTGTTTCCGCTCTCCCCCCGATGCTCACGTCCTTGGAGCCTTAGCTCATAGCCCGTCTTCGTGCCACCCTCGATGGACTCAATGTCACAAGCACTGATGCCCCTTCCACCGTAGGTGACTTCCTCGCCTTCTATCGTCTCTGAACCTTGTAAGGCCTTTCGACCTCGTTGCACTGCTCTTGACCTTCCTGAAATGGAGCCGCCATAGCCCCCGTCTGCGGCCACCGATCCCGGTGGAGGAAGTGGTCCCGGCCTGACATCACGTCGGTCGAGATTTCCTGCTCTTCCTTCTGGGAGGGCCTCAAACTTCACGTAGAAGAAAGTGTAGCCACACCATTCATGAAGCCCTTCCACATCTGAGCCCCTGTTTTCGATCCAGTCATCGGTGATGACCACTCGCTTCCAAACTTCTCGCGGATTTCCCCGCGAAAAAGCCACCGTGACTCTGGTCGCCGAGAGTCTTGCTATCGACATTGGGGTTCCACGATGTAATGGATGGAAGGTTCGCACTCGGGACTTCTTCAGCACCCTGACCCACCATTCACCACCACCGAGGCCCACACCAAGACATTCCCACCTGTCTGTTCCAGTAGGCGGCGTACTAAACCTCATCAGCTCCCATGGAAGATCCGTGCCAAGTCCCACATGGGTGATTGGTGCCCTCAAAGCACTCACCCGCGGAAGCTGCCGAATCCATGGCTCGCACGCGGATGCACCGCCCGGGGAGCCCTTTGGGCTAAAGTCGCGACCGGGTTTGGAGACAGGTTCATTTTCCCTTGTCTCTTCTTGACATTTTCTTCTTTCGACATTGCCCTCTTTGGACGCCCCTGTCCGAGCAAATGCCGGTTCACCCTCTCTTTTGGGGTCATCTCCACCCTTCCTACCCATCAGCCAAGCTACACTTGAAGCTACCGCTGCAATGGTCACACTTTTGGCAACCTTGGCAACCGCATTGACTGGCTGCCAACATGAAATGCCTATCAGCCCGCTCAGAAGCCCGATCAGCCTCTTGACCTGCACACAGTCCTCCGCTTCCTTCGCCTGGGTGGCTCCAGCACACAAGCCAGTGAACTCCCGGAACCTCCTCCACGAAGGCGGACTGACGATGGACTTTGTCAATAGGTCCACCGACAACGATGCTCCCGGCTCGTGACGTGCCTGCCACCATCCCGTGCGGATTCTCTCCCGCAACACAAAGCTTCGCAGCCTAAGATGTCTCGTCCGCCATGGGCCATCCGGCGACTGCAAAATGCGGATGCCAGACTGCGAGTCACCATGTAGGACGCAGTCCATGACCTCATTCGCATCACCACTTTCCAAAATCGCAACGATTGAGGCGCACGACTCACCCATGGTTAAGGCATCAGAATACCCCATGAGCTCTGCTTCTGAGCTAGATAGGGTGCCAAAGGGCTGCTGTTTGCTTTCCCACTGTATAGGAGCACCTGAGTACATGGCTATAAGGCCTTGGTGACCGCGAGATCCAGGGGGGGCCGAATGAAGCATCCGAATACATGTGAATGCCCTTGCTCTCTTCCCACTGGGGTTCATCAGGTGCAGCTTCATACAACAGGCCCAAACCCATGGTGCTTTGCAAGAACCCCAGGACCTGCGCTCCATATCGTTGGACTCGACATGGACAATGTGTCACCTGCCTCCCCATCCACGACACGGCGAAGGAGATGTCTGGCCTCGACCTCACTGCCAGCCACAACAACTCTCCAACCAAGGTTTGCGCCCTTCGGACCTCTGCAACCTCAGGATTCGTCTCCTCAGTCTCATCCAAGACACCTGGCAGCGGGCTTTGAGCTGACTTGACATCAGGATATCTGGCCAAAAGATCTCGTAGGTATGACTCCTGATGCAAACGAAGTCCCCTCTTCTCCTGGGCAATCTCAAAGCCACAAAACCTCAAGCTGCTTTCAGGCGTCAGCCACTCCGGTGTCGAGCATTTCCACTGTTGCTGGAACCGAGCGATGGTCGATCGAGTCACTCTTTCATCACCAGTCACCAGGATATCATCGACGTACACAGCGACAAATCCGTACACCTTGTCGGGCAACCTTGACTTGGATGGATCATCGAGGATCACCTTCCACAAGTTGGGCTCTTGAGTGCGAGCCAGCTTCCAGTTTTCACCTTCATCAGTCCAGCGGAGCTTGGCCATCTCTTCGTCCCTGAATCTCGCCCAGTTGAGAGGCGCCTCCTGGAGACCGTAGAGCGAGTTTCTGACCTCCCAGATTTCGTCAGCAGCGCACACCTTTGCTTCCACCAGCACCCGGGGAGGACGCGTAATGAGCAGCCTCTGCTGTGCATCTCTTCTTGGAGCTAGCAAGAACGCTGTCTTCACGTCCAGACTCGCTACGGACCATTTCTCCAGGGCACTCTTCCTGAGTAAAGCTCGCAAAACTGTCGCATCCGCCCCTCCTGCATATAGTTCAAAGGGTGAAGAGGTCGATGATGCTTCCAATGGACTGACAGCCTTCGTCTCCACCTGGGACTTTGTGAGATGGTTGCCACAAATGACCACCCTTGCCCTGTGCCGTCCATGAGGACTCTTGACCGTAGGGACCAGCATCGCTGGCGCTTCTTCCCGCCAGGGATATCTCGGATCCTTCTTCAAAGCCTCCTCTGTGGTTGGAACGATCGCTCCGGTAGTAGTGGACAGAGAGACATACTCATCCTTGAAGGGTTCGACCCACTTGTGCAACTCCCTTCGCACCTGGGCCAGCGACACCGTGTAGGTCTGAAGGACCAGCGAAGGCTTCTGCTCTTCCCCTTCTCCTGAACCCCCCGCCGCCTGCAGCGCCGCCATCCTCCAACTCTCCAGGGCTCCATGTTGGCGTTGAAGACACTCCTCCCGGACCATCAACTGTTCTTCCAGGACTTGAAGCCATCCTCCATGTTCGCTGCCCTGCTGTTCTCCCACCGCCACCTGATTCAACTGATCCAGCCACATTCTTTTCAACTGCCAGTGGCTACGAACTTCTTCCTCATGCCACTGTACTGCCTGAGTCCATGAACAGGCTTGCAAATCCAAAGCTTCCTCCCCCCGGAACCTGCAGCCCATCCTGCTCCTTCGGCAGATCTCCTTCACAAAATCGACATCCAGCTCCTCGATGTTCCCCCAGTTGCCAAAGATCGCACTCGAGGCACTTCACCATACCTTCTGCCGACCCTCCACCGCTTCCGTTGCTTTCGACCTGCAGGCCAGCTCCTGGATCTCGATCTGTCCCCCCCCCTGTCCTGAAGTTGGACAACGCGGACAGGGCTGGTTGTTGTGCAGGCTGCACCTCCTCATACATGTGTGAGATCACGTCCTGCAATGGGTGAGGATCCAAACTTTGTTTTCCAGTCACTCTCCTGCGAACGGTGTCTGCATCAATCTCCTGGAGCTCGAGAGCCGCTTGGTCCGCTTCTGGAGATGGCTGTAGAGCCGTTCGAACGTGTTGAACACGACCTTGATGGCGAACCACCCACCCGTTTGTCATCAGTGGGCTTGGACCAACCAGCTGCATAGAGATGAACGGGTTGATCAACTGACCAGCCTTGTGCCATCTCTTCGTGCGAACTGCCACCTTCGACCCAAACCGTAGCATTGGTTGCACCGGAACCCCTAGTCTACTGAGCTGCTGTCTGCATCTCTCCTCTGCCGCATGGCGAATCGCTCCTGGCCACAGTTCTGGTTCCACTTGTGCCTGATGGATGATCAGCCTCATGCGTCTCTTAACTTGTTGCACTTCTGCCTCTGCACGGCCATTGGCCTGTGGATCGTCGCCCTGCGTGAAGGTCTGTACCAGGTGTCTGTGGCCGCACCAATTTGACACCCTCCTCGACAGCATGCCCTTCTCCCGGTCGCTATGTAGTCTCATCACATTGATGCCCAGACACCTGATCCTCGCATAGAGTCGGGACAGGCCTCCCAGGAGCGAATCCACACCTCTGTCTTCCATCACCTCCACCATTGTAATGTTCTGCAGCTGATGGGGCCTCCGAAGCTCATCGATCTCCTCCCGACCAATCACCTGCTCCTCACCCTCCTCAACCAACTGCTGATCTTCTAACTCTGGTGGATCTTGACGGCCATCACGTTCTAGGTTTTCCTCCTCGAGGTCCTCTTGATCCAAAGATGGCACATCCCTCACCTGCTCCTCAGTGAGATCCTCTTCTTCAGCCGGTTCCCCCGGGAGATGGTCCGGCACCGGCAACGGCACCGTTCCCAACAAAGCGTACTTGGCCATTCTTCCAGTTGCAGGATCCTTCCCCACCGGGAATGGTCCAATGATGTCCACCGCCAAGGTGTACGCAGAAGACGCTGTCCTGGATCTCCGATGTGGATTTTGCGTGCCCATTGCTTCCAGACAGGTTCTGCAGTCCCGCCTGAAGGGCATGTGCTGCATCCGCACGTGTCGCCGCCATTGGTCCACATCCAATCGCGCCACCTTGCAGTTCTCATCCTCCTCAAGCATACTCCTCAATGCCAGCTGGATAGCCTTGACAAAGCCCGGTGACCATTCTGACCAGCTTCTCGATGCTGCCATCCTCTGACTCAAATCCCCTCCGACTGGGTTGGTGTTTCCTCCTCCTTGGCATAGTTCCAGCTGCTCCAGCATGGGCAAGTTCGACAACACCCCCGTCGGCTTCCTCCGTGGATGACCTGTCGCTCCCTGGTCGAAGTTGATCATCCTCATAGTCTCATCTTCCTCCAACAGCTGTTGCAGTTGAGGCCACTCAAAATAAGATGGATTCTGCCGATCCTCCTCCGACTCCAAATAGGATGCTGGATCCCTTGGCGACTCCAGCAAGAAGCCTGTCAATCGGCCCATCTGCTGTCCCTGTTTGGCCAGCTTCCAAAGTGCAACCTGCTTGAGAACCAGCGTGGTGTCGTTCGCGACCATCTGAGCCTCCTTAGGAGTTAGATCCTCCAACCCCCACCTCAGATCACCTCTTGCTCTGACTTTGCGAGGTCCAGGTGGCCCACGATTCCGCAACCTGCTGACTGTTCTGCATGGAGGACCTCCCAAAACTGCCTTGATTCGGCCCTGCTTGGCCAACCAGCACAAATATCCCCACACTTGAGGCGAGTGGAGATCATACCTCGACCCAAGGAGCGGGTCCACGAACAGCCAGGTGTACCCAGAGGGCAGCGAGTCCTTCCACCTCTTCACATTGGTGCCGGAGAACAGGTGCACAATGATTCCCTTTGAAGTCTGATGCATTCTCCTCTGCCTCCGGTTCCATGGAAGATCATCTCCCGCCGGACACCATGACTGGCCCTTCATGAACTCCAACAGCTCCCCCGGGACCCCAGGGATGTTCTCCTCCCACCACTGAGCATCCTCAGCCGTGATGCTGTAGTGCCCCCTTTCCAGCTCCTCAAACTCCTTGAGCATCGCAAGAGCTGCAGTCCTTTTCATCACTGGACAACCCCCCCGGAGCCAACATAGTATCGGCCCTTGCCGAGGATGGTTGATTGTGCATCCATTCGCCGACCAGTCAATCCGAAAGCCATGTTGTACCAACAAGCTCAATGGAATGATCGGCTCAACCTCGTCTAAAGACAGCAATGTGCTGCATCCCTCCTTTCGAAACAGCGTGGTCGACCCATGAGCAAGCTCCACCTGAACCGGAATAAGGTGGTCCTTCTCCCCGACCTCCGCCATCCTCAGTGGATGAGTCGCACCTCCATCCAACAAGGCCACTTCGCCCTCCCTCTCGGCATCAGGCTGTATCCTGCAAATCTGCCTCAGCCTGCAAGCCTTGAGCGCTCTCAATGATTTGAGCAAACTTGTAGCTTCTGCTATCAATGCCGTCGCCGACTCTGCACTCCCCGCCGAAGCTTCTCCACCACCTGCAACCTTCTCCCCCTCCCGACTCCTTGACACCTGCGTGCTCTTCAAGGACCCCGAAGTCTGTTGGGAAGAAGTCGTAGTGGCGTTCTCCTCCTTCGGCTTATCTGGAGCTTCCAGGTCACTTACTGGCGACTCCTTGGTGGGCATAGGATTCTTCACCTTTGCCACCTTCTTTGAATCCTTTTGATCTCGTTCACGTCGAGTGGGACACTCTCGCGACATGTGCCCTTCACCGCTGCAAACAAAACACCGATTCTGCTTGTTGATGCCTTCCCACGAATGCCCATAGGTGCATTGATCCCCCCTCCTGCAGCCCTGAGCAGACCCCCAGAACTTGCAAGAGGCCTTTTGCTTCTCTTCTGTGGAGCTCGTGGTGTTGAATGCCGCCACTTTTGGAGCTGTCCCTCCAGCTGTGGACATGTTCACATTCGCACCTGCTGCAGGCGTCTTTGAAGAGCCAGTCATCAGCGCCAGATCCTCAGCCTCCGCCTGCACATACTCTGCATACTCCATGATGGATTCCATCGTCGGACACTGATCCACTGCAAGATCTTGCCTTGCTGTTGCCATTCTGAATGAGACCTGAGCGCCACCATGTCGACCCAGGGCTTCTGTGACCCTGTTCAGCACTTGCACCAGCACCAAAGGGTCCGGTGTAGTCAGGCCCAACTCCTGTGCACGCTGGATCCATCGCCTCCATTGGCGAATTCCAGACAAAACGTCTGCCACCCCATTGCCCACCTTCAGCTCGGTGATGCTCTTGAGGAGCGCAGTTCTCTCAGCTGAACCCCCTGGTTGAAAAATGGTGTACAGCCGAAACAGAATTCCGAGGCAGCTCACCTTTCTAGAGGCGATGACATCCCTTCGAACTTGATCGGGAAGAACCCCCAATAGGATAGTCACTCCCCGGTGCTCAACTCGTTCATAACTGGGGTGCAAAGGCCGATCAACCTTAAGCCTTAGCCTCTCCAGCGGCTTCAGCTTCAGCCAAGTCTCATACAGCGCCTCCGCCTCCATGACGTTTGCTTGCCACCAACCCCTCGCAGAGGATGACAGGTCCGACATAAGAGGCATTGCCACCGTCAGCCAATCGCCGAAAGCCAGCGAAGCACCATCGCTGCCAGGAGATGGTAGAGGTGGTAACTCCAAGCTTCTAAACACTTCATTCACGGTCCCCTGAGGCGGTTCAGACCTGTTCAACGGACCCTCACACACACCCTCCTTCAGCAACCCTGGTGGACGCTCAAGACCATGTGGTTGAGACCCTCGGCCATCGCCACGAGTCGATTCACCCCCGTTGCCTCCTCCGCCCGGTCCCATCACCCTGACCGTTGACCGCCCAGGCTCTCGGTCAGCACTTGGCACCGACTCGAAGGATGATGACTCTGCTCCACCAGTGGCCTTCTTGATCTCCTTTGCAAAGAGATTCTCGGCTTCCCTGAGTACCTTCTCCCTGATGGCCTCCACATCAACATAGTTTGGCGACCTTCTGACTTCCCCTTGCAGCATCCCCTCAGGCACCACCCCACTTTCACTAGGATGAGCTCGTGCTTGTGTGCTCCAAAAAGGGTTGACATTCACCCCACTCATTGGGGGAGGGGTAGCCATGGGATAAGGTTCCAGAACCCTCGGTTGTGGTCCCAATTCCATCGTGGGGCCATAGCTCAAAGGTCCTCCTCGGGGTGGAATTGGACACTGCGGCGATCCAAAGACACTCCCATGCCCAGCATGAACTCCAGGACCGGTACCGGCTAGATGTCCCAGATCGTGGTGTTGAAGTAGGGGTGCAAGTAGCCCTTGACCTTGAGGATTTCCACCAAAGGCTCGCTGCAAAACATCTAAGGACTGCCTGACCGAGTCCAGCAGTCCCGGTGCTGACTCAGCCGTGACTTGTCCTGGCCCATTTGGCTGAGCCACCCGACCTTGTGGTTCTCTGCTCGGCCTTCTCACCGAGGATGTAGTTGCCGCTTGCCCACCCTGCTCCGGAGCTGCAGCCAGCCTTCTAACCGCTGCCGTCCTCGCCGGCACCGATGCCGCTCTGCCTTCTCGCTCCTCCAGCAGCGCTTGCAGGCGCTCATCCGCCGCCCCCACTCGAAGCCGACCCTCCCGATCTCCAGGATCATGGAGACGCTCTCCTTCGCGGGAGGATCGTCTCCGCCGCTGCCGCACGAAGTCGCTCATGGCGGCCAACGACCCTGATCCACAGGGGTGGACTTCAAAGGGAAAAACAGGTCGTTGGGCTCATAACCTGAGTTTCCAAAAACGGACGATGCTTTTCTTGAGCCATGAACAGCGTTTGTTGGTGCTAAGTGGTGTGTGTCACACCTAGGATCACATCAAGTGAAAATGCAGGGATTCACGAAAGAAAACATCATGATATAGTGTGATACATATATATATATATATGTATATATATACAAAAAGAATTGTGTTAAAAAAGAAGATCGCCTCTTTGGTCCTTGATCATCTGGATCTGATCTATGAACACACATTCTACAAAAGGATATGATCTAATGAGATTATTAAGGATCCTTTGAATTCGCTCCTGAACTTTGTAGTGGGTGATGGATCCCTGATCCCCTGGTGCAATGCAGAAAAAGTCCCGGTTGCTTCCATCTCAACACCGGCCCAAAAAAGAACCCATCTTGGAAGATGGTCGTTCGCATTCCCAAACACTCCCATGTGTGTTTTTTTTACCATAATTTTGACAAATCCCTTGAAATGGAGATCTTCCTGGCGTCTATGTAGGCAGATCTTCCCATGAAATATGAAGTGTCTAGCAGCCTAGAAGAACATCTAAGGGCCCAGTGATCCACTTCAGTTCTTCTGGACGTTCTCCAATGGCCTCAGGTGCTGGGAAAGTCCTCAGGTGCTTGCGGTTGCACTCCTGGATTTTGGGAATTCTGGCATCTCTTTCAGATTCCATGCCATAGATGTAAGATTCCTGAAGCAGATCTGGAGAAAAAAACATTTGGAGACATCTGGAGACCAGCAGTGCTAAGCAGTGCTCTTGCTCTCACCTGCTTCGTTCGCTTCGTTCGCTTCCATCGCTCCGGGCGTCCCAGGTCGCGGCCGGCCGCCAGACCGGAGAAGCTGCCACCCACCACCAGCACCCGACGCCTCAACAGACACATCACCGATCGACGAACCAAAACGGATCAAAACGGCCCTGTGAAGGTGTGGGTGTCTGGTGTTTTGGGATAGACAGTTCCCTCATCTAACTTTCCTGGTTTTCTAGGTCTAGGAGTCTCGGAGAGGGCATCCACTTGCTTGTCGATATCCCAGTAGTGTCCGTGGTGTCCACGCCTAAAAGTCAGTTCTTTGGCAAAGAAAACAAATGTTCCGAGAGCACACTCAAAGATGGAGTTAATATACCATCAGACTGGTTCATGGGGCTAAAATGGGCTAAATATACTGGCGCAAGCTGATGTGTCAAATGCCCCAGGTTTTAATCTGAGCCAGCAAGGAAACGTCTTGTTGATCTTGGTTCATCGAAGTTTCGGGGTTCGAGCGGAGAACCCCCGGTTCTAAAGGCAAAGGTAACTTACCGGGTGGCGATTTGTAGGTGTACTACAGTATGCGGTTCAAAGGAAAAATACAAAAGGTCCTCGGCTGTGGCTGAACAAAGAGTGTTTTTAGTTTAATTGTCCATTCTTAGCAAATCCAAGCCGCTAATTCGTGCTAGTTCTAAATACCGGTATCATCCGGAATCACCTGGTTTGAAGGACTGGACCAAGTCACAAAAACAAGAGATTGTCGTAGGCATATAATGGCCAGCAAGGATTGCAGCAATGGAGAGAGCGTCGGTGGTTGTGGTTGCGGTCGTAGTCGTAGTAGTCATCGTAGTTGTAACAGCAGCAGCTGTAGCTGTACGAGTAGCAGTAGCAGTAGCAGTAAGCCTAGTGATGACCTTGGTGCCTTGGTGCTATGTAAACTAACATGGACCTCTGCAAGAGTATGTTTCATTTCCCACCCAGTGGTTTTCAGGGTCGTGACTCCTCTGCAGGGTATTGTATGTACTTGTATGTACTTGTATAGTTGATGAGTTGTGTCCCCAGCCACTTCCCACCCCTCACTCAGTCTGAGCTCCCCGACGGTGCCATCGGCGCCGAGGGACGGACGGGAGGGCGCCGCGCCGCTCGCCGGTGCCGGAGCCGTAAGCTCGCGGGGTGTCGACCCGCGACATGAGACGTGTTCAAAGAAAGAAACTCACTTTTGTGAGAGGTAGGGAGTTTCGTGGTTTTTTGAGAAATCGAGAGAACTCGTGGAATCAGCGAATTGACGATCCGGAAAAACTCGAGAGGATCAAATCCAGCTCTTGCCAAAGGACTCTGAATGTAGATACTAATGATTACTAATGTAGATCCCTTGCCTCCTGTGTCATTGCGAGTACTTGCTTGGTGTTTGGAAGTTGTTCGAATGGGCAAAAGTGGCTGCTATTTAGGACAAACCCCTCTGGCACCCTTTGTATAATGTACGCGCTCACACGGCAAGTAAAGTGCGCCGCACTGCTTTTTGTGACGACCTTCACTTGGCATAATCTCTAGGTCTGCAATGGTTTAAAAGCCACCAAAGCACGCAGTGGTCCGCAAAATTCCATCCCATTGAAAAACGCCACTCACCCGTTTAGGTGAAGCGATGTCGCAGGGATGCAGATTGACTGCAGGTTCAAGGCCCATTCATTCGTCGGATCTCTCGCGGTCTCAATAGCCTGCCGTGGGCTGGAGCTGGAAGCCGCAAGAGCGTAACATTGAGCATATAGTATTGTAGTACTATATATAGAGAGAGAGAGAGAGTTACTATAGACCTTTGTACAGTTACTTCCGGTCGCCCGCTCTTCTTCGGGATGTAAACAAAGTTTGCCTCAAGGTCGATTTCGACCCAGTAAAGCCTGATCTTTCACCTCATTGAGTCATGATTCTTGTATGACCAAATCCAATGAGGTTCTTAAACAGAACAGTGATTGTGATGAGATATGGCAAGGTCAAGGTCGGGCTGTTTCAGCCTAAAAAGGATGAGAAAACGTTGTGGAACAACGGAATAATCAAGCAAATTCAGAGGTGTGGTTAAGCAAATGTGTTTCTGTATAATTACAAGCGGGGTTGATAGTTTGGGGGGGGTCAACCTGAAGGTCAGCTAGACTGATCGCTGTGAAGAGGCACCGAACACAGCTTCTCGGATCTGGGTTAAGAACTTAGTTAGCTTCGTGGAGACGTTCAACAAATGTCGAACAGCCACCAATCATAAAAGCCCATGAGCACCCAGCACCGAGCACCAACAAGCACTAGCACCAATCACCAGAGCCAACGCTTCCGTCAAAGCATCCACCAAAAGAGCACCAAACAAGCCGGTCCAAAGAAGCACACGTCCCTTGGCTGCGCGTTTCCGCCGAGACACCCCAGCGTGGGCCACCGCCGAAAAGGTGCACCGGCGTGTGGTGGACGAAGTACCAAATGCAGCGGCCAATGAAGCCATAGGCGCACTCATCCTGGGCGACCCAGGCAGGGTAGGGATGAGTGAAGAAGGTCCCAAACATGTCTGGAACTGAGTAACTGTTTTTGGTCGCTCTTCAAGTACGCTGCATAGAAGGTGGACATTCCCAATTTGTGAAAAAATCAGTTCCACATGTTTTGACCCACATCTCTAGGAGGGTTGAGCTGGAGAACACCTTGGGCGACGCCAAAGATAGTCTATCACCGGAGCAAAAGCTCCATGCTGAGGATCTGTTGCCAAAGCCATCCCTGTGACCCCCGAGCCTGTGACTCATGTTCTGCAAACGCAGAACAAAACAAGCGCACCTTCCAGCACCACCAAAAGGGTGGTTATTGAAAATACCTTTATACCTTGGGTGTCTATAAACCACCCGAACTGGGTAGTGCTGGTTGTTTTTTTGCACACAGAACTTGAGCTTTGACCACGGAATACCATTGATTCCCTGTTGAAGATGGGCCCCAAAAGACAGGCTTTGGGCGGAAAGACCCGGGCGTGTGATTGGGTCGGGCGGAGTGGTGGCAAAATTCGTCTAGGTGGTGTCCATGGTGGTGGTGGGGTGAGGGGATATACGAACAAATACTAATGACTAATGTGTATACCAATGTGTATAGTGCTTAATGTGTATACTACTGTGTATAGTAACAATATAATATATATATATATACATAGTACTTAATGTGCTGTATATTGTATACGGTCATAAGTCATGACTTGAAACCAGCATTGACCGAAACCGGAGGTAGCAACCAAAACGGACCAAGCATCCGTCTTGGAGGCTTCAATGAACTCCTTCTGCACGGCACAGACCTGACCCCAAACGCACATGAGGCCGGAGTTCTTCTGCCAATTGGCGCCAGCCACGAAGCAAGCGTCATCTGGGCCCAAGGATGTGGCGAACATCCCGGCACCCCATGGCCAGTGCATGTCCCAAACCTTCAATGGGTCTCCACAGCAATCAACCGTCTTGCTCTGGAAGAGCAGCCTGTCGGTCTTCTCGATGTTGGTGCAGGCGACAATGCACATCTCCTCACCGGGGTAGGAGATCTTTGGGATGGGTGGAATCGGCCAATCGTCTGGCTTCTTGCCTGGCTCTTCAATGCACCCGTAGTTGCAATCGCCCACAGCATAGATGCGGGGGAAGCCCTTGTCATCTGCACCCCACAGCTTGCCATCGCGAGTCTTGACGGACAAGTTCTGGTTCTAGGTCAAGGAGGTGCTGTAAAATGTGTATTTAATCTCTGTGGCGCTTTCTTTCGTTCTTGTTTTCATATTGTTCTTTAGATTTCTTTGTGTCCTTCTTTCTCTTGCTGTCCTTTTCTGTTCAGACTCAAACATGTATTGCTGTCGTTCGTGATTGGGTCTCGAAACCACACGCTGAGGAGTGGGCCATCAGAATCCAACCTCCGCCACCAGGTCCCTTCTCGCTCAGGGTCTCCTTTGGCATGAAGTAGTTGGACGCCTTCACACCGATGCACACGTACTCCTTGTCCGCACCGTTGGGCAAATCGATGCTCTTCCAGAACTCAGTATTCTTGGCATCGTACTTGGTGTTGTAGAACTGCTTGATGCCAACCTTGTTCATGTACTTCTCCTCAGAATATGAGATGCACCAGACAACAACACTAGAACTACGTAGTGATCCGTGTTCCTGAACCTCCCCCACACCACAATCCAGGTGCAGCACGTGGCCGCACCTTCGTTCCAAGTCTCACAGTATTTGGCTGCCGAAGCTGGCAGAGGACCCAGCGGCTGTGGCAAGAAATCAATGATGGTCAACTTCACCTCATCCATGACGAGTCCGGGTGTCGGTGACGATATGCAGAATACACCTATCTTGAACTTCCAATTCTCATGGAGGTGAAATCCAAAAAGGACATCGAAATGATCGGATGACGCACCCCCCACATTTGGCAGCTCTTTATTTAGAACTTAAAACCACTAGATATTCTATATTCTATATATATAATAAGAATTAAATAAGATTAAATAAGATTATATACTCAGGGGTCCACCTACAGTAAAGAAATACTTGCACACCAGATGGGGATAAATATAAGTCTAAATAGGGGTACCACTAGGGGTACCCCCGGGCCGCGAATGGGTGGACTCGTCTGTCTTCGCTTCACCCCAAGCCTGGGTTCGGAAAAACACCCGTCGAACGTTGCGGAACGATGGCCGCCTCCGGGGCTTTTTTGGAACACCATGTCCAATGAAAGACTGCTGTTGTCGGGTGATCCATCAACTCGAAAAAGCTGAAGAGAGGCCATCTGGCTGGCATGGACCAAGAACAGGCCCTTCCATGTCGGTTGGTTGTCAAAACAAATATCCAGACACTCCATGTATGGTATATATGTCTACATTGACTCCTGGTCAACCACCCCTGGCCTGATCGGCAGTCCTATGGCAGTCCCATTAGTCGTGTTTGGGATATGGAGCACTGTCATCACCTTTAGAGTCCAGCTCTGCACATCGTGGCACATCTATTTGGCACATGGTGAAACTCGGGCAGAGACAGGGAGAAACTTCCACCAAAGCAAAATAAGGAAAGACAACTACAAAAACCAACCAACCAACCCTACAAGTCTAAGATCCGTAAAACCTGGTCCTTTACATCCTTGAGTAAAGTGTTTGTATGACCAACTCCGGTAAGATGAGGACTTTGACCTGTGGGGCAAGGGGAAACCTGAAAACCTGTCCTCCACCTGTCCTCCATATCCACCAACGTAACGCGGAGCCGAGACGCCCTGGGGAAAAAGTGCTGAATCTCCGTGGCCCACTCCACACCGATGAAGCCAGCGCCGACCACCAGGCAGGTGGCCGACTTGTCGTTCAAGCTCTTCAGGAAGTTGAACCTCGAAGCCAAAAGAGATGCCAAGATGATACGGGTCTCAGAGCGATAAAGATTCCACTACTACCGGTGGAAGATGCTGGTCAGCAAAGGCCTTGCCGAAAAGTTGTGTGTATACATATAGTGGCAACCTTTCACCGACTGTTACTGGCAATGTGAGACCCTTGGGCTACATATGTTGTTGTTGAACCTCAGATTCGCGACTCATATTTCAACCCTAACTCGCAAGAAGATAAGTAGATGCAAAGCAGATGGGCGAGCATCCACAGGTCAGAAGTTTGATGACATTGAAGAATTATAGGTCTTGTTCCTAGTAGCGTCCTCTTGCTACTAGTAGTAAGGCCAGGAGCTATTAGTAGCGTCCTTGCTCCTAGTAGCGATGCCCTTGTTGCTAGTATAGGGCACAAACAGCACGTTCACTTTTTAGGAAGTGGAAGCTTCCCACTGATGCATGTTTTGGCAGGGAGGACGACAATCCTTACAGCGCTCATGCCATCATCAGTGATTGGAAAGAACCACAAAGGAACCCTTCTCAGCTGGCCTTGTCTGAAAGGAGCATGCGCTCTCAAGACGCTCAGTGACTCAGTGTACCGAGCAAGAGAGGGGGATGAACTATGAACTTGCATCAACTTGCCCTATGGACGTATATGATTGGACGTATGGATGAAACTACCAGAAGGTGTGGAGATTTATTCCAAACCCATCCCCACCTTCTTGGAGACATCCGGAGCCGATAACTCATGGTTGAGAAAGCACAACGCAGGCGTCACCGCCCGACGCAGGCGTCGGCGCCGCCGCAAGGCGCCCATGGTTTCCAAGGCACTCTTCGAGGACGTGTCGCCTGCGGCCTTCCAAGTAGCGCTCATCCAGGTGAGGCCAAGAGCCTGGCAACACGGAGGTTCCGGGAGGGAGTGGAAGCCAAGACAGCTGGGGAGTTGGCACGTTTAGCTGGCACAAGTGCCTTTTTTAACGCCCCACGCATCTCTTTCTGAAGGAAAAGATCCTACATCACCTCAGTCAAAGAGCTCACAATTTACAGAGTGAGCTGAACATTTGGGACGGTGATCATCAAGAAGCAGCACCTACCTACCTCATCTATACCTCTCTTATCTCATCCTACCTCTCCCCCTCCTATCGCACCTCACCTCGTCCAAATCCTCTGCCTCTCCACCTTCACCTCTCCGTTGGCCGTGTGCCTTCGCCTTCTATCCCCCGCCTTCCGGGCGCGCATCCTCGTGGATGGTCGGGAACCACAGTGACTCGCCCCACCTGTCGCACCGCGCGCGCGGCGGAAAACGGGCGAGCGGAGGGGGGGACGGATGGAAGCCAGGAGCTGTTTAGAGCTTCCAAGGATGAGCTGAACACCGAAATGAAAAGCGATGGAACTGAACCAGCAAACAGAATGAACCTGCAGTGCAGTTCAAACTTCTCCTTGGAAGCAAGTTTGACATGTGAATGACCTCGGCCCTCAGGAGATCCGAGCCTCATGCAGGGCTTTCGGGGATCAACGACCAGTTGACCCTGCGATTCGCGCGGAGTGCGCGACCGTGGTCACTTCTGGGTCCCCCCAGCTTGTGGAAAGGGCCGAAATTGCAGCCCGCCGCAATGATGCAGTAGTCGAAGTCAATGGTTTCCTCAGGAAGCCCACGAGGGTTTGGTCTCCTGGATCCTATGGTGTGTTGGTCCAAGGGCGACACCGGTTCATGTATTTTGTCCAACCCCGGAAGAGGTGTTCACCAATCCAAATGGGGAGTGTTCTTAAGCAAGATTCTGCGTTAGACCATGATCCAGACTTTGACCTCATTCTTGGAGGTTGGAGCCTTCAAATGATGCTTTGTCACATGATTATTGCACAGAACTGAGAATGTCTCTATCAAAGGGGCCTCGAATCGGGGGCTTCGGCTTACCTCTCGGCATGGCTTCTACCGACAGACCTTGAGGTGCTCAGCAGATCTCTGCAGTCCCTCGGTGTGGGAAAATCTAAACCCACATGTCTTGGGTCTATCCTGGGATACCAGTAACAGTGGATGATGATGGTTAGGTCAGGTTGCAGGCCTTGTTCCCAAATAGTGATATATAATTGATATATATATATATACCAGGGGCCATCAAAACCATGAAAAGTAAAGGCTTTCACATACCAAAACCAGTTTGTTTGAAAGGGAAAACCCGGTTTTTGATGGTTTGTGGGGCCCCTGGTATATGTATATATATACAGTAATTGTTTATACATGACTTACAGGTCAGTTCGGACAGACCACAACACATATCATGACAAGTCCGTTGTTGTCGTGAACATCGTTGCACTCCTCGGTTCGACCTCAGGATCGTCAGTCTCACGGATGGCGGGGCATCCGGATGACCCGGGTCAAACGAGATCTGCTAAGAGTTTCCAGCACTGATGCGACCGATGCTCAACAAGCATAGAGTTGTCGTGTAAGACATCCCAGAATGTCTTTCTTCCCGAGCAAAACACTCAGGTGACATGACTTGGGACATCAATTCCAATCCAAACGGGCACACAAACAGATCGGCAGTTCAAAGCTGACTGGCAGTTTCTTCTCACCAGCGACGCAGGACTGACAACGTAAACATGGGGAAGAATCCGTACATGAATCTTTCATGGTTCATGCTCACATCATCTGTTCACCTAAAATCGCATAATTCTACATTCAGACACGGAGTGGTCACAACTGAGTCACAACTATAGCGGAAGAGTCTGTGTTTTTCAAGGGTCTCACTGTAACTCCTCGCCGACCCGCCGAGATTTTCTGGGGGGGTTCGAATCTCCGAAGCGGATGGACTCCCCCCAAGTCCGACACCCAGCGACTCTCTCACTGGTGAAGATTGGCTTGTAGGTGGCCGTCTTCCTCAGCCCGCCGTGGTCTCCACAGGCGGAGACGGAGATGGGGAGGACGCATCCTTGCGATCCTGGTCGCATCGCCTACCTCTTGTGGTGTTTCCACTGACACCGAGTTCAGTTCAGTTGGAAGACCCCTCCCTTTGTGGTTTCAGAGTAGAGTGCAAAATCACCCTAAAGGCCGGTCCGGGGTCCATATAAAGGACCTCTTGGGGTTGTGCCATCTACTTTGAAACCACTGGTACATCGAATCGGAACTGAGCGAACGAAGTAGACCCATCAGTGCCCAGCGAACTTGTGCCACCCACAGCCACAGCTACGGTCCATGAGGACCTGCGACAAAGCTCCCTTGTGATTTGGGTGGTGCAAATATAAAAAGCTCCTACGATGTCTTTCTTCGGTGAAAACCGTGGCTTTCTCATGCTTTTTCTGAACTGTCCATTCATGAACCTCAGTTGTTTCGCACGTCGGATTCCGGTGCAGCTGGGCTTCTCCGCACCGTTCAACTCCTTCACTTCGCCCCAAATGTACTTGCAGCCCATGCGAGTCTGGCGAGAGACGCCACGCCGCCCGTCCGAGCCGAGCCGAGCCGAGCCGAGGTGTGTGGACCAAACAAGGTCGGTGCTTGGACGGGACACGGCGGGGCGTCTGAATCATTCAGGAATGATGCAACCGACGGTTGATTCAGGAACTGTCTAGTCATGGTTGGACATATGATGATTTTTTGAAGAGGTTTTCGTTTTGGCAAAATTCATGTTTAGTCAGTCCATGCAGCTTAAACTCCAGGTCCAGGTGTCATTCGTTTGAGTATACGCCCTGGAAGACTAACATGGACCCTGAAAACCACTGGTTGGTAGAGGAAAACACTCTTCCAGGGGGCCATTGTCAGGGTCTATGTTAGTTTTCGGGAGTGTAGTCACTACCGGATCCTCATCCAAAATGGTTTGATAGCACGTCTTACTTCGACCCAGTCACATTACCCACAGTCGCTCGTCATCACTCCGTGTCCGTCCGGCGTCACACTTGACCAGCACCACCATGGCGCTGTTTTGGCCTATCATTCAAGATCTTGGGGTCATGTCTCCCCCCGAAACTGTCCGGACCCACCCAAACGAAGCTTCAGCGACAGAAACCGCTTTCTTCACTTCAACGACTCCACTTCGAGTCCGACACCGTCGACGTTCCTACGGCTACGGCGAAAGAAGCAGTACAAGTCGACCAGAAACGCCCTCCACCGGGGATCGGGGAAAAAAAAGATCCTTGGAAGATGTTGGAAGGTGTCAACAGCTGTCAGCATCCTTGCAGCATCTGGCCGAAATGCCTTGGAAAATCCTGTGGCTTAGCACCCCCTGCTGTGTGGCCAGACCTTTTCCGGATCGGTACAACATCTCACCAAAACCATAGGGAGGTATCCATCAACCTGCTGCTTTCTGAAACGCACATCCCACCCGAAACAATGACCAGCCAGGCCTCAATCACTGGCTGCAAAGTAAAAGTCAGCGCGTCCAAGTGCTTTGGTTTGACGTAGGCACGCAAGACTCCCGGGGTGTACTCGAAATACTCCTTGCACCAGTTGGGAGTTCAGGAATGTTCAGGATTCGTTCTCGGGGCACATCCTAGAAGAACAGTGAGAGCCGGATTCTGAACCTAATTATTTGGTCAGATTCAGAACCTGGGGTTCTGAAACTGGGATTCTGAAACTATACTTCTGAAACTGAGAAACTGAAGTGTTGAAATTGGTATTCTGAAACTCCGGAATCAAGATAGTTGCGGAATCAAGATGCCTGTGCAATCCGAGTTGCGGAAACAAGACAATTGTGGAACCCCAGTTACAGAACCCCACTTGCGGAATCAGGACAGTTGCAAATTCCCAGTTGCGGAATCCGACCCATAGTTGCAGAATCCCAGTTGCGGGATCCTGTGCAGTTGTGGAATCCGACTTTACCCTGGAAGGTCTGGGATAGAGGAAAACGGGTTCATCCACCAAATACTTCGAAACCTGAGACCATCACCCTGAGTCTTCTGACCCCAAACCCCGCTCTTCTTCCCATGAGCATTGAAGGGATCACTTGAAAAAGGGTACCGTGCTGGGACTCCCGTGGGGTCTCCCGGCAGTTGGAAGGTGTTGGAAGACCCGACCGACCAAGGCACGACCGGCCCCAAAAGGACCAGGACTCCAAAGTCGAACGACGCCTCCCCATAGATGGGTCGCTCTTCAAACCAGGGACACCGAACCCCCTGGTTTAAGAGCAACCGACCCCCCAACCCGACTTCCAGGTTGGCCAGAGACCAGTCTAATCAGCTGAAGGGTGATCGGGTCTCCCTCTGCTGAAGGCCATCGACCCTCCCTACCCGTCCTTGGCATCGATGATCGTCACCTGGGCCGGACTGGTGGACAGGGTGAGTGGACGACTCCCCCGTGAACGGGACGAAGATGCCCCAAGAGTCCATCAAATCGAGGCGGGTTCTGATCATGGGGTGTCATGGAAAAGCAAGGTTCGAAAGCAAAGGGGCAAAGTACCTGGACCATCCAATGGAGACCCCTAGGTAGTGCAGGGTAGTCCATTGGACATCCATTGGATGGTCCAGGTATATAAATGTCGTGTAAAAGAACAACTCCAAATTTGGACCGGCGTACACCAAGCTGCCAGATTTGGAGACTACTGGTCCCGGAGAAAATTTCAATCAACAGCCCGCACATCATTGTATCTCGGTGTTTGGTCCAGTCCCAACACGTGCGAGCGAAAAAACAGCGACTCCAAGGGGTTGAACCAGCAGCAACAACAAGAAGAGGAGTGGAGTCCAAACCCAAGGATGTGGATCAAAAACCTGAGACCATGGTTCAAGCACCCCATTGTAACATGGAATGCCACTCTGAACACTGCGGGGGGGGGTTGAGGTCCTGTTCCGGTGGTTGACATGTGTTGCCTAGCGCGTCACTCGCGAGGCGTGGAACTCCCAGGAGCGGCGGCCCAGTCGAACAAATCCGCGCACGCTTCGCACGGCTCCAGTCCGAGATGGGGCACTCAGCGTAGGGAACCGAGTGGCCCCATACTGGTATCCAGTCACTGTTTAGTGCTTAAAGGAGGGATCCATAGGGCTGGATTTGAAGGAATCTCTTTCGGGTTCATCATTCCCAGCTCAAGCTGAAATCTGAGTTGGCCAGGAGACCTCCACAGCCAGGTCTTGAGTTGAGGGTTGGAAAGATGCATGAGGGTTTTTCACCCTTGGTGACCTCTACTCCGGGTGGTATTTCGAGGAGTTTGTGTTCCATTTGGGCCGGTCAGTGAGTCAGTGAGTCAATCAGTCACCGACCCTCGGTGACTAACCCACTGGCCACTAGCCGCAGCCCTCGTCCAAGTCACCAAGTAATGGCTCCCCAAGTCTCGGCCCGCTGCTAAGCCGGAGAAGCTCCCGCCGATGATCAGCACTCGGCGCCTCAACAGGGGTTGAGGGGGCTTGGACGCTTGGTCCGTCAGGAGCCTCTGGAGCAAACCGGCCTTCGGTCCCGACAGTGGAAGTCAAGAAGAGCGAGTTGGAAGGTGGCTGGGATCTCTTAAGATCTGTACTGCTCTGAGAAGTTAAGTGCTCAAAGGAAGGACCCTTGCCTATACAGTGCCAGGTCACCAATTGTTCGACCTGCTAGGACCCTTGACCTGGCAGGGAGGGCACTGGTTGGGACAAGGAAAAGCTCGTTTGCTCATCGCCTCCAAGGTGCATCCTGCAAAATGATCTGTGTTCCTCTGAACAACCAATGGAAGGTGTCTGGGGCTTGGTGCCTTGGGGCTCGCCATAGACATCTCCCACGAGGCCTGGTTTGGAGGCTTTGACCCGGAAACAACCGCGGCCCTCTTCACCGTTACAACCGCGATGGGGAGCACGGAACATGGAGTCATGGTTCTAGAGGACATCGAACCAGGAAAAGTACCATGTTTCCCGAAGATGTTCCTTCCCATCGTGATCTCCAACATTTCCCAACTCTACTTACTTGTCCTTCCTCAACTCCAATCGAGTAGTTTGGGGACATGAATTCCCCAGAAATCCTGAAGATGAGCAGCTTCCCTCGAAAGGTTTGCCCCCAAAGAGGATTCACAAAGTACAACTCACTTTCCCAGCATCATTCTCTACTGAGGCACTGGGAGGGCGGCATCTTGTGCGAGTTGGTTTTCGCAAGTTCCTCGTCCGGAAAAGGGGAGAAGTCACTGCTGGAGCCAAGAAAAAGGTCGGCGGAGGCGGACCGTTTGCGAGGATTCCAGTTTCTGGTTCTGGGCGAAATCTGCCACAAATGGATGTAAATGGTGTGTAAATGGTGTTCGTGCCATGATGGGTTGTACAAGTTACGTATACATCTTATACGCCCTGGGAGTCAAAGACTATAGAAAGAATGGCTTTCGGTGACACGAAAAGGAGCTTCTTTTGCTTCACTGGGGGAACGCCTTTGGACTTCTACGGTACATCTATTCTTATGCATCCTTTCACACAAGACTTGTCATTGAGATAATCTTCTGGACCTGCTCGGTCCGCGAAAGCCACCGCAGACCAGAGAGAGAGAGAGAGAGAGAGACTGAGAGAGAGAGAGAGAATACCCATCTCATCTTCACACATGACCTTGATCTGAAGCTTGAAAGGCCAACGTTGTGACTATCCCCTACGGCTCCAACCACATCCTCAGAAAGTGGTTGTGGTGGGTTTGGGAGTCTAACCACCTTCTGAGGACATGGTTGGAGCACTAGGATCCACAAAACAATTAAAAGAAAAAAACATCTTTTAACATGTTTAACCGTGTCTCTCCCCTTCACATCCAAGAAATCCTCTCACACCAAAAACCTGCCCCCACGGGTTCGTGCGGATGTTTTCTCGCATGCCATGGTCTCCGGTCCGCTTCGTGGCTTCGACCTGCCGGGTTCCACCCAGCACAGCCGTGGTCTACTGGTTGAAACCAACCACCCCGACACCGCGCAAGTGGTTTCATGACCATCCAGACTGGAATAGATTTATCCCCCATGAACATGACCCATGTCATCATCGAAGGGTGTGTATATATATATATGCAAGTGAAAGCACTTGTATGCGTTTGAAGGCAAGACTGCTCCAACCGCAGTGAACGAAGGTTCGAGGGAAAGAGGTTCGGACTTTGCGTGGACACCGCATTTGCCGTGTCGTTTAGGTTGTTTTGAGCCATAGTCCCTCCTTCGACCGCTTGGGCGTTGCAAGCTACTCATCGGGCCATCCAGTTGGATGGTAGCGCGGAGCCTTTAGAAGGCCGGTTCAGGGAAGTGTTTTGGCTGGACACGTCTTGACCTGTCCAGAGGACGACTTAGGATGAGCTCGGGAGAGATCCAACGCTCCAAGGATGGCGTCCCAGCTTGGGACGGAGACGCCACCAGCTTCCAAGATTATGAAGAACAAGCCCTTCAGTGGGAGCAAGGGCTTCCGTACCACAAGAGGTACTTGGCTGGCCCCAAGTTAGTCGCGGAACTGACTGGACCTGCCAGGAAGTATGTCATGGGCAAGCGGCCACAATGGTTGTCATTCAATGGGGGCGTCGTGCACTTACTGCAGCATCCGAGAATGCTTGGGACGGCCGACCATCCCAGAGATGACTGAATACCTCAATCGTTACTCCCGACAAAGCCGAAGAAAACGGTTCGAAACGATGAGCCTGTACATCACCCGGAAGATTGAGGTCTACCATAGGGCGCGGCAGTCACTCGCACGAGTGCAACAGTACTATGGCAAGAGCAAGAATCTTGGAGGAAGCTATCAAGGGTGGCAGTCCAACACTTGGCACAACTCCAGTTGGTCTTCCTGGTCACGCAACCAGTGGCATGGCTCTGGCACGAGTGACCATGGATCCCAGGCTCGTTGGGACGAGCCAGCGGACACTCCTCAAGAAGACGACGATGACCAGTGGTATGACCCGCCAAGTGAAGCGCCAGAAGCAGCATCTTGGCATGCTTCGAGCTACGGCTATGGCTACCATGAAGGTACCGATGATGAGCCCTGGAAGCTTCATGCAGAAGAGCTATTACCAGAATTTCTTCAGGGCTGGTACCTTCTGGCTGACTCCGGCCTAGACAGTCTCGAAAGAAACATGGTCCAAACAGCGCTTCAAGAAGATTTCTCAGTTCAAAGAGTTGCCAAAGAGTTACGGCTGCAGTGGCCGGACGAAGAATTGAAGCGCAGAGATCAACAGACCAAGAATGCCGGCTTCTGGGCAAATGAGCCCGATCAAGAACTTGATCTGGAGGATGGACCCGATGTGGGTCTATGGATGGATGATTTGACGGGACAGGGACATGCTCTCTTCCAGGCGGCAGAAGAGCAGGCCCAGGAGGCCTATGCAGCCATACAACAGGCTCGAAGGACCTTGAAAGAGGCCCGTTCTCGACAGCACCAAGTGAAGCTTTCCCGCCAGTACTACAAGACGACTTTTCAGCGACCTCACCGTCCATATCCTCCCAGGTCAGATGGCATGACCTGCCTCAAGTGTGGCAAAGGTCACCGCACCAATGAGTGTCCAGAGAAGCAGAACTCAGATGGCAAGCACCAGAGCCATGTGACCGAGGAGGCACCATTTGTGTGCTACTCCGAAGAGGCCGCACTGGCCACCAATGGCATTGACCAATGCCGGACCACCTATGAAGCAGTACAGGCAGGCTGTGCTGTCATTGATGGTGGGGCTACCAAGACCTTAGGCAGTGTGGAAGCGATTCAGGCCGTCATGGACCAGAACATCGCCAAGCATGGCAGCAGTCGAATCCAAGAGGTCGATGTGACCAACCAACCCCAATTTGGTTTTGGCAATGGGTCCAAGGATCGCTGCATCTCAGCCACACAGCTTCAAGTCACAGCCAATGACAAGCCCGGAACTCTCCAGATCCATGCCTTGGATCGAGGCAGTGGGCCGATCCTGCTGTCCATTCAGACCTTGAGGGCACTCAAAGCTGTGATCGATTTTGACGAAGACCTTCTGGTTCTGCGTGGCCTGGACGCCACGAAGATCATTCCCCTCGAACGGTCAGCAGCTGGACACCAGCTTTTGCCGCTGACTGAAGATCTTTTTAAGACCGCACACACCTGCAAGAGTCAGGTGCCAAGCCTCCGGGAGTATATTCATTAGGGACAACTCCTCTCTGATCCTGCGTCCGAGGGAGAAAGAGAGGTCCGACCGCATCGGACACCCGAGAGGCCATCGACCGAAGAGAATGTCATGGTTGCCCAAGAGAGACATGTCATGGAAGATAGTGTTGACAGTGCCCGTGTTTTTGTTACCTCTTCCACCTCTATTTTTGAAGTTAGTGATACTGTTTCCCCTTTTGAACAGAACATTTCTTTTGAAGAGACACGACATACCGCACAACGCCGCAGCGAGAGCCCAAGCAGCGTGACGCATCGTGTTCAAGTTCGTGACAGTGCCCAACATGGTGAGCCAAATGAAGAAAGCCGACCTGATGGCAGCCCTCGAGGAATTCGGGGAGACCCCACCGGCCAAGTGGACGGTGACCGAACTCCGAAGTCGCCTTCTGCAACTCCACGAGGAGCATGGCATCAACCTCAGCAAGAACAAGCGCACCGAATTGCGCGAGATGGTGATCCAGTTGAACAAAGCCAGTGCCCGCAAAAGCACCGTGGCTCAGCACTGTGCCGATCTGGGCATTGCACAGAGCGGCAACGAAACCAAGGCGCAGCTCCAGAAGGCTGCGATGATCCGCATCTACAAGACCAGCAAGCCCGATGCCTACGATCCAGTGGGTTTCGGGAAGGGAGCCTCCTTGACCTACGCGGAGATCAAGGAGGACAAACAATACTGCACGTGGGTGAAGACCACATGGCAGGAGGATCCCAATGCGTGCTGCCCACAGCTGGCACGCCTAGCACAATGGCTCCTGAATCAGGATGTCAAGATGACCAAGGACTCCGAGCCGACTCGCACCAAGACCGGGTACCGCACTCAGGAGCCCGAGCCAAAGGTGGTGTCACTCAAACAAGAGCCCAAGGGGACTCCAGCCCGCAGCAGCGCTGCGAGCAGCGCCAGTGTGTCCTCCTCGACTCAGGCCTTGGAGCTGATCCAACATCTCGCCGAGACCATGAAAGAGCTGAAGGAGGAGATCGTCGAAGTGAAGGGCAATATGAACCCTCGCAAGGAGCGGAAGTCACGGGGGTCGGAAGGAACCTCAGACAGCTTCGACATGATCTGAGCGCACCACACTTAGAAAGTCCAGGCCCTAGCTTAGTCTCAGACTCCGGATCACGCACCACGGACGGGACTGGACCCAGAGTGTTGTCTGCAGCAGCCGCTCGACACTTAGAACAAGAGTCGCACCGCATTGCCCCTAGAATTTTTCAGGAGCTTGTGAAACAAAGGAAAACCTTGTTGCTTGAAGTGGCTTGTGGCCCCGAAAGTGTTTTGAGTCAAGAGCTGCAAACCCAAATGGGCTATCCTGAAGCAGCAGTCCGCTGTGCTCACTGGAATGGTCATGATTTGACCACTGGTGAAGGGGTTCAGTTGATTTTACATCGCATTCACACCCTGAAACCGAAACATGTGTGGATATCCACGGACTGCGGACCTTTTTCCCCCATTCAGAATTTGAATCAACGCACCATGTCTCAAAGAGCTGAACTCGAGGCAAAACGGAAAGAGGTTCTGCGTCAGTATGTGGGTGCTGCATGCGTGTGGCACTATGCTGTCCAACAGGGTTGTCATGTGAGTTGGGAGTGGTCACAAAAGTGTTATGCTTGGCGGTTACCCCTGGTTCAAAGACTCATGAAGAGGTATCAACCCTGGTTTGCGGTGGTGAATGGATGTCAGGTGAACCTGAGGGATCCTAAGAAAGGAGGTTTGCTTCACAAAGGTTGGAAGGTCATGACGACCCATCAGCGCATGGCCCAACTCTTGGACCTCCCATGTAGATGCCCCAAAGATAGGCCCATCAGGTTTGTGAAGGACATATGACATACCAGAGCGCGTTTTACACACCCAAATTCGCGAAGCGCGTTGCGACCGGCATCATGTGTGAACACACTCATGACCTGCTGGTGAAGGAACTGACCGGGGAGAGCGTGTTGTGTATGGGCTTCGGGATGGGGTCATGTTGTGTGTGTAGTGACTTGCAGTTCCATGGGAGTAAACAACCATGTGGTTCATGTGTTGAACAAAACTGGATTGACATGGACACGGTTCAGGAACATGAAAAGAGGCCAGGCCTCCTGAGGACAACGAACACGCGTGGGTTCAACAAACGGAGAAACATGACAAACACCATGTTGAAAAAGTCAAGAAACAATTGTACCAATTACATGCGGCAACAGGACATGGCAGTGTCCGTCACATGGTGGCAGCCCTTCAGAAGCGTGGAGCACCGGAAATGGTGCTTGAGTTAGCTAGGAAGTTTACATGTCATGTGTGTCAGGAGCGGCACAAACTGAATGACAAACATGTTGCCTCATTGGAACCCCTTCCCCCCTTCCCCCCAAATGGGCGACGGTGAGCGCTGACGGTGGACATTGGATACACCCAGGAAACGGGGAACATGTTGAGTTTGCGTTGTTGTTGGATGAAGGGTCCCAGTTTAGAACGGCGAGAGTCATGTGTAGAGGAAAACATCAGACCATGAAAGCTTCGCATTTTCTTGCCTATTTCCAAGAGGGATGGTGTCAATACTTTGGACATCCACAAACCTTGAGGCTTGACCCCGCAGGTGCCTTTAGAAGTAATGAAGTAGAGACCTACTGTGACCAGCATGGCATCTACTTAGACTTCATACCGGGCAAAGCCCATTGGAAACTGGGGGCATGTGAACAAGCTATTCAAGGAGCAAAAGAACTGATGACAAAGCTCGGCTTGGTGGATCCAGAGCAAACGGCGGAGGAGGTGTTGGCCGAGGCCATTCGCACCTTCAACACAAGGGATTTGGTCAGGGGCTTTTCACCGATTCAACATGCTCTAGGTCGTGCACCCGACGAGGCAGGACAGTGCATTCAGACATTGACAGAACAAACGGTGGAACAACTTCTTCCTCCTACAGGACCAGATCATGTACACACCATTGAGAGAATGCGACAAGCAGAACAGGCACATGCAGAGTGGACAGCCAAACAACGCATCAACAAGGCCATGAACTCCAGGGGCAATAGACAGTTTCATTACTATCCAGGAGACTTGGTTTACTATTGGCGAAAACAGGTCTCAGGACAACATACTGGACAACAGCGACAGAAGCAAGGTTGTTTCTTGGGACCAGCCCGAGTACTAGCCACCGAGACCAAGAGGGAAAGTGATGGCAGTCTACAAAAAGGCAGTAGTGTTTGGGTGATCAGGGGGCGACGACTGATCAAATGTTGTCCTGAACAACTACGACCCGCTACACAGAGGGAGGAATTGTTGGAAAACATCACAGCAGAAGAGCACCTAAAAGCACCTTGGACTTTCACACGTCTGACAGAGGGATTAGGTGGCAATGAATTTGAGGACATCACAGCTGAACTTCCAACTGCCGAACAGTGGCAAGAGGCTCAGGACGATCCCATGCCGTCTCATCGAGACACACCGGAAGAACCTAGGTACCGAATCCTGGGAAAGCGTGTGGATGATGGGCCTGAGCGAGTACTCCCCGCACCAACAAGACCAAGAACACAGACAGCCAGTTTTGAAGATATAGTGATTCCCAAAGAACCCTGGTATTCGAAAACAACAGAGACAAGCAGGAGGGAAGCACATGGAGAAAGTTTTTGGACAGAAGATGATGTGGCCATTGAGATTGACATCCAGTTGCCACAGAGTCAAAGACAGTGGAAAGAGTTTGAGCAAGACATTACAAGCTACTTTGTGGGAGCATTGAAACGGCGTGCCATCGAAGTCAATGAAAAGAAGCTATCTACCGAAGACCAAAAGAAATTCCAGGAGGCCAAACATGTGGAGGTCACCAACTATGTCGCCGCGAAAGCGTTTGAGGCATTACCTCCAGAGATGAGGCCACCCGAGTCAAAGGCCATCCGCATGCGGTGGTTACTGACCTGGAAGTTGAAAGATGATGGCACCCACAAAGCAAAAGCAAGAGCGATCTTGCTAGGCTACCAAAATCCATGTTATGAGGAGCGTGACACTACTTCACCGGTTATGACGAGACAAACCCGACAACTGCTACTGACAGCAGCGGCTCGGTTTGGCTGGCAAGTCAAGAAAGGTGATGTCACTGGGGCATTTTTACAGGGCAGACCATATCCACAAGAACTTTACTGTATTCCAGTTCCTGAAATCTGCGCCGCCATGAATCTAGAACCTGGAACCGTCACACGTGTACGACGTGGATGCTATGGTTTGGTTGATGCCCCACTAGAATGGTACAGAACAATCAGTGAGCTTTTGGATACATTGGGCCTAGTGAAAACTTGGTCAGATCCTTGCTGTTGGTTGTGGAAACCCCAAGGCATACTCAAAGGCATGATTTCTGGTCACGTCGATGATTTTCTATTTGCTGGACCAAAAGATGACAAGGACTGGCAAAAGCTGGAAACGACAATACGAGAACACTTCAAGTGGTCAGATTGGGAAGCCGACAGGTTCACTCAATGTGGAGTATATGTGGAAGTCCAGCCCGATGGCTCCTTTCATTTAAGCCAACGAGCTTATGTGGAGAAAATTCCTGAAGTGTTTGTGAATGCATCAAGACGAAAGGAACCTGACAGTGAGACCACTGAACGAGAGAAGACACAACTGAGAGCAACCTTGGGAGCTTTAAGCTGGTATGCACAACAGACAGCACCCCATGTCTCAGCAGAAGTAGGTTTACTTCTGTCCGAAGTGGCAAACAGTCGTGTGGACACCATTTTGAGAGTCAACCGACTGGTTCATTTTACAAAATCTCACAAAGAGCACAAACTTGTGATTCATGCCATACCTCCTCACATACCAATTGTTATGTTTACGTGGTGTGACGCCGCTGGACAAAACAGAAGAGATGGCAGCAGCACACAAGGCATATTTGTTGGTTTAGGCCCCATGTCCTTGTTACAAGGTGAAGTGGAAAAGATTGTTCCCATCGCCTGGCATTCCAATAAGATCGAACGTCAGTGTAAGAGTCCGGGAGCCGCCGAAGGTCGAGCCGCTGTCGCAGGTGAGGATTTGATGTATCATGCACGGTTCCAGTGGAGTGAAATCTTGCACTCTGAGGTCGATATCTTCGATGTCGATTCCGTTGTTCGACGAATCCCTGGGTGTTTGATTTCCGATAGTCGTAATGTGTATGATAAGTTGCAGACCACGGAGATGACTATCCGTGGGGCAGAAAACAAGGTGGATTTGGAACTCCTTTGTTTAAAACACTCCCAACGGGAGACCGGGGTTCAACTAAGGTGGGTCCACAGCGAAGCACAACTTGGCAATAGCCTGACTAAGGGACAGACTAAGGAGCTAACCATGTACTACAACCTGGGCTTCAAGTGGAGACTGGTTACAGATGACAACATGATGAGTGCACGAAAGAGAAGACTACAAGGTTTGGACGCCCTACAGCAACAGCAGAAACCACAAGAGAACTCTTCAAAAGAAAAATGAGGTTTGGGTTTTTGGTCCTTCTTCTTCTGTGTCGTTGTTCTTGTTGGCGGTGTTTTTAGAGAACTGAGGCAACCATGAAAGGATTCTCTAGGAGGGTCGTGGGGATGCAAGTGAAAGCACTTGTATGCGTTTGAAGGCAAGACTGCTCCAACCGCAGTGAACGAAGGTTCGAGGGAAAGAGGTTCGGACTTTGCGTGGACACCGCATTTGCCGTGTCGTTTAGGTTGTTTTGAGCCATAGTCCCTCCTTCGACCGCTTGGGCGTTGCAAGCTACTCATCGGGCCATCCAGTTGGATATATATATATATATATGCCAGTCCCAACAAAGGTGTGGGCTGCCAACACAGTGCGCCCGGCGTATCGATTACCCCTCCCTTTATCCAAACTAACACAGGTCATGCTTCACCAAATTTTGATTGGTGGATAGAGAGGGTAATTAATGCTTCAGACTCAATGCGCCAAAAGAATCAAGCAAATAAATACGCTAAAGAGACTGTAGCTGTGGAAATACCGTATGCTCAAACAAAGGGTCAAAACTGAAAACCATCAATATTGTTCTAAAATCACAATATGGCCACCAGCCAATCTCAATGCCATCCATGCTCTGAAAACACTGCTCAATGCATGCATCAATATCTATCC